TTGGCGGAAGAAGGACAGGTTAATTCTCCTATGGATCCGTTCCACATTAACCACACCATTACTTGTTCATGTTGCACGTGCCACTTCTACCCATGAAGCGTGGGATATACTATCTCGCATGTTTTATTCTCAAAATCGTGCTCAACTCATGCATCTCAAAACTGAGCTCCAACAATTTCCAAAAGGTGATTTATCAATTTTGGATTATGTTGAAAAGAAACGATCCTTTTCTGATGCCTTGGCCGAATGCAATTATGTTGTTCCCGATGAAGAATTTGTTGAAAGTGTCCTTCATGGCCTTGATGCATCGTATTCTGCGTTTCGTTCCGCCTTCAATCTGCATTCTGAACTTATTAATTCTCATGATCTCCTTGGTCTGCTGCTGCGTGAGGAAGCCCGCCTCAATTCGGAGAAGATGACGCCGCTAACTGCCAATGCACTGGCAGTCACCCGGTCAGGTACAGGGGGCGCCCGGTCGGGTATCACAGACAGCAGGCCTGTATCAGGCTACTTAGCCTCCAGTTCTCGAATTATCTGTCAAATCTGTCAAAAACTGGGTCATGAGGCGGTAAATTGCTGGCATCGAGCAAAATTTGACAATTATCCCGAAACCAAACCCCGGCAGCCCTCTCGCCGTGACCAGCAGCAGCCGCGCCATGGGCAGCCACATCAGCCGCGCCGTGGATAGCAGCCTGAACAACGGGCTCGACTTATCACACCAAGGCTCCTCCAGATCTCAATCCTATCCCTATGCAGCCCGGGCAACAAGCTTATAATGTCCAGAATCCTCCTTCAACTCTTATTGACCCATGGTGTTTTAACTCCGGCGCAACAAATCATGTTACGGCAGATTTTGGTAACCTTTCTGTTCACTCTAATTACACCGGTAATGAAGGGTTACAAGTTGGTAATGGTATGTCCCTACTCATAACTCATTTAGGTTATTCTACTTTACAGGCATCACATGCTCTTATTCATCTCAATAATATTTTATTTGTTCCTCGCATAAAAAAGAACTTACTCAGTGTTTCTCAATTCACCCGTGATAACAATGCTTATATGATATTTTATCCTACTTGTTGTTTTGTGAAGAACCTCCAGGGATGGACGCTACTCACAGGACGCGTTGAAAATGGACTGTATCACCTCCAACCACCTCACACCGCACCCTCTCCTCCTCGTGTCTACCTTGGGGAAAAGACGTCTCTACAAACTTTGCATCACCGCTTTGGTCATCCCCATGAATCTGTTTTACGCCGTTTAGTCTCTAGGTTTAACTTACCTATTTCTTCCAATAAATTATCTTCCATTTGTGACTCTTATCAGTTAGGGAAAAGTCATAGACTTCCCATAACTAGTACTCATTCATCTAGCTTGCAACCTTTTGAATTAATTTATTCTAATGTGTGGGGCCCAACTCATGTGAACTCCTTTCATGGCAATAAGTATTTTGTTATTTTTGTCTGGATATATTTTTTAAATAAAAAATCACAGGTTCTCCCAACTTTTTAAAATTTTCAGGCCATGGTTGCCACTCAATTTAACACTAAAATCAAACAAGTGCAGTCTGACTGGGGTGGAGAATACCGATCTGTTTCCTCTTACTTACAAACACAGGGTATCCTCCATCGCCTTTCTTGTCCTCACACACAATCTCAAAATGGAGCCGCTGAGCGTCGTCATAGAACGATCGTTGAAAACGGCTTGGCCTTACTTGCTCATGCACATATGCCTTACTCCTTTTGGGAAAATGCTTTTAACACCGGTGTTTATTTACACAACCGCACATTACACCTATTTTAAAGGATAAATCACCCTTTGAATCTTTATATGGCAAACCCCCTGACTACTCTTTTTTAAAATCTTTTGGCTGTCTTTGTTATCCTCTTTTAAGACCATACAATGCCAATAAACTTGAATTTCGGTCATCTCCTTGTATTTTTGTTGGTTATAGTTCTAAACACAAAGGCTATCAATGTCTTCATGTTCTTACTAACCGCATTTACGTTGTCTGGCATGTCATGTTTGATGAGACGTCCTTTCCATACCCCTTACATGCTCACCCTACCACCCCCCACTTTACCTACTGCAGTATCCCCTTCGCGCTCCAGTTCAACAGCTCCGTCCTCAAATTCCTCTTCGCAAAGCTCAGGTATGTATTCTTCACCTTATATTTCCACGGTTCCCTCTTATTACCGACCTGTTAATACCTCCACTCACCCCATGATCAATCGTTCCAAAACAAACACCCTTAAAACCAAAGTCTCTACTTTCCACTAAACATCCTCTTCCCATACCCTCATTTATCTCCTTTGAACCGCAAACCTTTTTACAGGCATCCCAATACCCCCGAATGGCAGCATGTGATGCAAGTTGAGTTTGATGCTCTAATTAAAAATGGGACTTGGGATCTTGTCTTACCTCCTCGTAACTCTAACATTGTTGGTTGTAAGTGGGTGTACAGGGTGAAAAAGAATGCCGATGGCACTATTGAGTGCTACAAAGCACGATTGGTTGCCAAGGGTTTTAATCAGGAGGAGGGAGTTGACTACTCTGACACGTTCAGTTCGGTCATTAACCCCACCACCATCCACATTGTGCTATCCTTGGCCCTTACTTTTGGGTGGAATTTACGATAGGTTGACATTGCTAATGCTTTTCTTAATGGTGATCTTTATGAGACAGTTTATATGACTCAGCCACCAGGGTTTGTTGATCGTGCTCGTTCTACTCATGTCCGTATTTTGCGGAAAGCTCTCTATGGCCTTAAGCAGGCACCCCGTGCCTGGTTTCACAAGCTCCGTCAGTTTCTTCAGCAGCATCACTTTATTTTATGCAAATCTGACACCTCTCTATTCATACGTCGTCACAATGGTACCACTCTCTATGTCTTAATCTATGTGGACGACTTAATTATTACTGGCTCTCATCCTGCAGAGATTGATACTTTTGTGACTAAACTTAATGATGCTTTCACTCTACGTGACATGGGAGATCTTCATTATTTCTTGGGCATTGAGTTAAAGCGATCCACTTCATCTATCTTTCTGAATCAGCAGAAATACATTACTGAGCTTCTCTTGCGTAACAAGATGCATGATGCTCGCCCCATTGTCTCCCCTGCCGAGCCCGGTTCACGCCTCTTGGCTTCTGGAGATCCCATGGATGAGCCAAATCTCTACCGTAGTATTGTTGGTGCACTACAATATGTTACTATCACACGGCCTGAAATATCTCCCACAGACATCCATTGGCAAGCTGTAAAACACATACTCCGTTATCTCAAGGGCACCATTACCACCGGACTTCATCTACGGCCTTGCACCGATACCCGTCTAGTTACGTTCTCTGATGCTGGATGGGCTTCTGACATTGATGACTGTCGTTCCCAGCATGGTTTTGCTATTTACTATGGTGGTAATCTCATCAGTTGGGCGTCCAAAAAGCAGCACGTCGTCGCCAAGTCCAGTACAGAGGCCGAATACAGAGCGATTGCCTTTACCTCCACTGAACTCATTTGGATTCAGCAGCTATTACAAGAACTACAGGCTCCGTTGCACATCCCACCTATTCTTTTGTGTGACAATCTTAGTGCTACTTACATGGTTGCCAATCATGTTTTTCATCAACGCTCCAAGCATATCAAAATCGACTATCACTTTGTTCGAGAACAAGTTGCAGATGGTTCCCTTATTGTTCGTCATGTTCCTGCATTGGACCAAATTGCTGACATCTTCACAAAAGCTGTGGGGAACACTCGATTTACTTCTCTTCGTTCCAAGCTCCATGTCATCCAATCTCCATGAGCTTGAAACCCTAAACACAATGCAAAGCTAATAATATTAAATAAAATTATTCATGCAGGCCAGGTAATGCAATTTATCATGTTCATTAACGATTCAACTAATAATTTGGACACTCTAAAAAAATTAATAATTTGGTCAAAATGTTTAATGATAGGATTCAACGTATATCATTTTTAATTTTCAACCAATTAATTTTATGCTTTAATTTATGTTATTCTGAAAGGAGTTTATGCATTATATTAGTTTGCCGTAAAATATGTCAGCAGTAATATTGAGTTATAGAGTCTTGAACACTATTCGCAACTCTACACGGTTATTATATAAGGAGTATGTTCAAATATTGCAACCTTTCATATTTTAAAATAATATATTCACATGTCAACACACACACACATATATTACTCTTCCTGTTAGGAATTCCTGACCGGAACCGGCGTTCGGATGACGGCATTTGGGGCCCTTCACGATGACATTTTTTGATAAAATTTTTATGGCATATTCTTCATCAATACTAGTTTATCCACAAAATATTTCAGCTAAAAATGCAATTTGGAAGGTCGTCAAATGATTTTTGGAAGATAACTACGCCCAAAATATACTTATAAAACGCAGTTAACTTCCAAAAATTATTTAACGACCTTCCCGATTTAATTTTTAGCTGATTTTTTTGTGTGGGTAAACTAGACTTGATGAAAAACAAGGTGTAAAAATTTCATCAAAACTGTCGACCGGGATGAGGCCGAAACACCACCGTCCGTACTGCGGTTCATGTTCAGAATTCTGGACTGGAATATTTCTCTTTCTCTCTCTCTCTCTCTCTCTCTCTCTATATATATATATATATATATATATATATATATATATATATATATATAGTTTTTGGTTCAAATAAGAACATGATCTTAACAGAGAAATGAGAACAAATCTGGACCGTTAGATTTGCTTTAAGTGAAATTCAATGTGCATTAGATGAAACTGTAATGTGCATTAGGTGAAATTGAAATGTGCAACACAAAGCGTATGATACAATGTCATTAGGGCTGAGCATCGGGCGGGTTCGGGTCGGGCGGGCGGGTGAACCCACGACCCTTTCGGGTATCGGATGTGTAGTTAGCCTATCCTACCCTATGTTTTTTACCCTAAATTTTTCGGGTTTTAATGAGCTTCGGGTAGGGCGGGTTCGGTTCGGGTATCGGGTTATGTCGGGTTCAAGTAACTCATACAAAATGTTCATAGACAAAATGTTCAAGTAAAATATATGACAATTTGATACCAGTCTTTTAAACTTATAGAACAAAGTAAAGAACTTAAGACTAAAGTAATAAGCACATATTACAGACTTGCAGTTTACAAATTACAAAATGCTACATAATTCATTAACATCCAACATTCCAAAGTTCCAAGTACGCAAAATTAATACATCCAAGTATCCAACTATCCAAGATTTGAAGTTCAAGTGTTCCAAAACTCACAAGACCACAACTATTTTCCACAGCTTCAAGTTTCCACCTGCATACAAGTATGCAAAATTGCAAATGTAAAGCAATAGACAATTAGACATGTATAATAAGTCAGAGTAACTTGGATAAGTTAATGAAACAAAATAACAAATCAGAAAAATCACTGACTCATAATGCTTGTTATCCTTCACCAGGAATATAGGGGCAACTGCTACAATTTCAGTTACAACTTACATGTTGTGAACTGAAAGAGCTATACCAACCTTAAACCATACATTCAGTAATGTGTGGAAGCTTCATCATAGCCAATGAAATTTAATTGAAATGATATAGTCAAGGATTAATGGGATTATGAGTTACTTACACAAAACCTGAACAAGTCAGAGCAAGGGACAAGAGTCCAGGGACAGTTCACAGTTGCCAGAATGCTTTCCAGAATGACATAATCATACTCATAATACATTATACATAATCAGAGAGCTCAGAAGTCAGAATGCACATGGAAAAACAACCACATTATGCCAAATCAGAGAGTCATGTACTCATGTGCATACACATTCAAACATTCAAACCTATACACATTATACATACTCATAATACATTATACATAATCAGAGAGCTCAGAAGTCGGAATGCACATGGAATAATAACCACATAATGCCAAATCAGAGAGTCATGTACTCATGTGCATACACATTCAAACATTCAAACCTATACACATTATACATACTCATAATACATTATACATAATCAGAGAGCTCAGAAGTCAGAATGCACATGGAAAAACAACCACATAATGCCAAATCAGAGAGTCATGTACTCATGTGCATACACATTCAAACATTCAAACCTATACACATTATACATACTCATAATACATTATACATAATCAGAGAGCTCAGAAGTCAGAATGCAGATATACATAGAGCTCAGAATGCACATAATCAGTTACTGATGTACTAATGTTCAGAGCTCAGAATGCTTTTTATCATTCATAAGGGGAAATAGGGGGCATCTGCTACAATTTCAGTTACAACTTACCATTTTATGAACTGAAAGAGCAACACCAACCCTAAACCCTAAATGCAGTAATGAGTGGAAGCTTCATCATAGCCAAACAACCAAATAATGGCAAAAACCAAACATGTCATATAGCTCAGAAGTTGAAATGCTTGTTATGAACTCAAAGAGCAATGCCAACCCTAAACCCTATAAAAATATAGAAAATATGCACTTAATGGCACAATAGAGGATCCAGTAGGAGCAACAGTTCCACCACCAACATTTCCATCCATTATTTCTATAACAAACAAAGAGAATTGTTAGAATTATGAAATATAAACAAGAAGATTCATAATAAGCAAATAATACATGATGGAGGAAGTTCCATGTTTCTTAGAGTGACAACCGTATATTTTTGCACAGTATATGCACCTCCCCTTAATAACCACACCCTTTTCATCCTTAATTTCATCAAAGTGATCCCAAATCTTAGATATTTTGTGAACCACTTTTCTCTTTTGTCCAGAAACAGCAGGTGGTGCAGTCTGCTCATTGGTAATGTTAGGCTCAGGAATTTGACTTTCCACCACTGTTTCTTGACTCAGAGGAGGTTGAGATCCAGATGTAGAAAAGGTCACACATTCTTCAGGGTCCATCTAATGTAAGCAAGTAAGCAACACATGATATATTGATATGTGTATACTAAGCTTCCACAGAGTTCATACCTCACAGATAAGGCAAGTACGCAACACATGAATAAGAGCTGTACATATGCAGTCAGTAAAAGCTTCCACAGAGTTCATATCTCACAAATAATAACCATAATATGTAAGTCTGGAACAATCAGCAAGCTGATTTACAGAAGGATAAAAGCACTTTGCTTTTTCACTTCTCTACAGACTCTGAAGAACCCAGTTCACTCTTTGTACTCGTTTGAGTACTAGAGTTGAAAAAGGCTTCTTCATCAAAATAATAAGGCAGTTATGTTACTTATGTAAAACAAACAACATAACAGGGACAACTGGATAATCGTAGTCAGTACTCAGTAGGCAACACATGAATATAGAATATATAGCTTGATTAGCTTCCACACTTCATTCATATTTCAAATAAACAAATTTGAAATTCTGAATGCATCATAATATACATCAACAATTAACAGGGACAACTGGATAACCGAACATTCGAACAGATCTGTACATGCAACTTTCACAAATATACGAACATCACAAGACTAATCACAGCTCAAAACATCCATGCATCATCAAGGACTAAACTTACCATAATACGAATAACGGAATAAGTATTTTATACCTCAACGGCTCGAGACGAAGGAGATGAAAGGCTTCCACTAGGTTAGAGAGTACAGACGGTAAACCCTACAAGGAGATGAAGGCTTCCACTCGGCTGAGGACTACAGGCCTACATCCCTACAACGACGGCAACGACGGCCGACGAAGTGAGAAGTCAGACAAAATTAGGGTTAGCTGCTTAGAGAGTTAGAGAGAGAGTCTGAGAGTGTAAGCTAGGGTTAAGTGGTTAACCGGCGAAGGGAAATAGGGATAAGGGAAAGGGAGTGTGCTAATGGGCTTGGGGAGTTGGGTAATGGCCTTATAGGCTTGGGTAGTTGGGGAGTTGGGCAATGGGCTTAGGCTTGGTCGGGTTTTCGAGCGGTTCGGGTAGGGATTAGGAGTACCCTACCCGCTGGATGTCGGTCCAAAAAATATAGGGTTGGCGGGTCGGGTCGCTGGGTTCGGGTCGGGTCAACTGACCCAATAACAAAAAACCGGGTTCACCCGATCGGGTTCTTCGGGTAGGGTCGGTTTTGCTGAGCCCTAAATGTCATTAAGTGAAGCTGAATTATGCATTTGGTGAAATTGAAATGTGCACTAGGTGAAACTGAAATGTGCAGAATAAAATGTACGATGTGATGTTATTTTTGTACATTTTATTCCGCACATTTCAATTTAACCTAATGCACAATTGAGTTTAAATTTTTATTCTACACATTTCAGTATCATGTAATACACATTTCAGTTTCATCAAATGCACATTTCCGTTCCACATAATACAATCCAACGGTCTAGATTCGTTCTTATTTCTCTCCTGGGAGTCCGTTCTTACCGGAACCGCTCCATATATATATATATATATATATATATATATATATATATATATATATATATATATATATATATATATATATACTACTTCCGGTCCTAAATAAACTTCACACTTTCCTTTTTGGGTATGTCCAAAATAAACTTCACACTTATTCTCCCTTCCTTATTTGGCAAATTATCTACATCAAAACAGTGGAAAACAGTGTCAAACAGTGTCACAACAGTGTACTCTACAGTAAAGTCAAATTTAATTCCTTAATTTGTGTGAAGTCAAAGTGTGAAGTTTATTTAGGACTGTATGGAGTATATATATATATATATTATCTAGTGGGTTAATGTATTCACTCTACTAATAGGTTAGAAAACAAATAAAGTACCTTTTGATTCCCACTGGATCAATTGAGAAAATTCTAAATGACTGAGTAACTTGGAGTGGTGTGTACTCCTTGTGAATCACCTTTCAATCTAGGCCATATCCGTTGTAAAGGTAAGATTGGGCACAAAGTGTATTGAGTTTAATACTTTAGTGGAAATCCATCTCAGAGAGGGTGAGACTGGACGTAGGAGGATTACACCACCTCTAAACCAAGATATACTGTGTGTTGATTTACTTTCCGTCAACAAAGCACACACCCAACAGTTCTCATTAAGGAAAGTATTCTGTGTGCAGTATCCTCAGCAGTAGCCTCATCTGACGCCACTGCTCAGCCTACTTCTTAATTACATACTTTTTTGAGACATCTTTACATTGCAATATTCTTACAAAAACACTACAAAGAAGTGTGTTCAAACAGATTTCTGGGAATCATAACTCAGCAGGTACCTCAGCAGTTCCCTGACAATCACCCAACTGCTCAGGCCATTGATGCCATAAACTTCCACTTAAACTCAGCTGATCACATTTCCAGAAAGCTCATATCATTCTAGATAAGATTCTGCAATCAGCCCTCTCATATTCTCATCTTTTATCAAGCAGTTGCCTCAACAGTTCCCTGGGAACCACCCAACTGCCCAGACCACTTCTATCATAAACTCCCACTTTCCACTAACCTCTATACATCTCCAGATTGCCTTCATTATCCTGAGTAAGACTTCATAATTAATTTCATCATAAGCTATATATTTTTTCAACAGTTGCTTCAGCAGTTCCCTGTTTTTCACCCAACTGCTAAGCAACCAGCTCACTGTTTAAACCCAATCTTTGCCCAAAAATAGAAAGTTCATACTCATATAGAGGTTAAGACTTCCGATGTGCATTTATAATCTCCCAAAAGCTCATAGATCAACTCATCTAGTGGGGAAAAGTTTATTCGAAAAAGTGTGTTAAAAATGTATTAAATGGTCATTTTGGGACAATTATTTGAGTTGGGTCCACTTCCGATTTGGGTCGGGTCAAAGTGGTTTCGGATTGTCCTTGCTAAGGGCTACAATTCGATATATGGTACACTCAAAACGGATAACGGGTGAATGAGAAATTGTTTTTCGAAGTTTACCCGTTGGAATGGAGAAAACTAGGAAAATGTGGGTTTTAGTGTGGGTTCTTTCCCACACCGAAAATCACAAGGGAATTTGAACCCTTTATAAAGGGAAACCCCCCTAAGGAGTTAAGATTCCTAAAGGAAAGGCTCTCTCACGTGCGCAGGGGGGTGGTGCGAATCAAATCCCGAAACCGAAGAACAAAAACCGCGACTTGCGTGTGTGGGCGACCTGCACACACGAATGCCGTCCGAAAATCTATCTTCTAAAGATAACGTTAAATGCCCAACGTCTATATGCTGCCATTGATGTCCCAACATTCATATGAACGTTTTGGGTTGTTTAAGGACTGGAATCAATGCCCAACGTTTAGGACATTGATGTCCAACGATCATAACCCTTAAACAGCCATTAACACACCTTAATCCACCCCTATAAAAGGCTAGTAGGTGCTTTGCAAAGACACAACCTTTCATACACTTTGCAAAGAACATCCTAGGAAACGATCGTTGCAACGCTCCTAGCATCCCGGGAGGCAACGAATACGTTTTAAGGAAATCGTGCGTAGCACGAGCTTTGGCTTATTCTGCTTCTTCTCATTTCTTGTTTTTCTTTAAGTCATTTTATTTAATTAATCTTTATTAATTAATTTTCTTTGTTTTTCGAAACACACCCAACAATCTTAAAACGTATTCGGTGATTGTTCTACTACGGTAAACAATCTTAACACTTGTACTTTGTCACCTTGGTGAACGAACTTGTTTTTTTTGTGCTTTCGAATAACGTAAGAAACGAAAAATGACTTCTCAAGAAAATGAAAATGTTGTTGGGCAGAATGCTTTGAACGGTTTGAACGATAATCACTCTGAAAGCGGAGCTCCGGTGAACAATAGTTCACAACGCGGTGCATCTGCTTTGGTTAACCAAAGGGCTATCCCTATGGTGACCGTGTCGAGCAACTCTGTGGAGAAACCCGAAAAATTTAATGGGTTAAACTTCAAGAGGTGGCAGCAAAAGATGCTCTTCTATCTCACCACTCTCGTGTGAGGCTTGGAAGCATTCTGACTTCCTTTGCCGAAACTACGTGTTGAACGGGCTGCATGATGCTCTGTACGACGTGTATAGTAAATTAGCTACGGCTAAGGAGCTATGGAATGCTTTGGACCACAAATATAAGAGCGAGGATGCCGGTGCAAAGAAATTTGTTGTCGGTCGATTCCTTGATTTTAAAATGGTGGATTCGAAGACGGTCTTGAGTCAAGTTGAAGAAATGCAAATGATCTTCAACGAAATTCGAGATGAAGGAATGACGGTTAGCGAGTCTTTCCAAGTGGCGTCAATTATCCATTTATTGCCGCCGGCTTGGAAGGATTTCAAGAACTACCTTAAGCATAAGCGAAAGGAAATGAACTTGGAAGAGTTGATCCTCCGTCTGCGGATTGAAGAGGATAATCGGAAGAACGATGGGAGACTCCCAATCGTTAGCGGCGCCAAAGCCAATGTGGTGGAGCATGCAAAAGGCTCTAAAAATAAAAATAATGGGAAGAGCAAGCTCGGTCCCAAGGGAGGCGTTTCCAAACCCAAATTTAATGGAAAATGCTTCAATTGCAACAAGAATGGACACAAGTCCTCGGATTGCAAGGCACCACGGAAGAAGAAAGACTCCCAAGTCAACCTGGTGCAAGGTGGGCAAAAGGATGAAGACATCATTCTAGCGGTTGTGGTTACCGAAGTCAACCTCGTTGGATCCAATTCCAAGGAGTGGTTTTGGACACCGGTGCAACCCGGCACATTTGCTCTAACCGGGAGCTATTCACAACCTTTGAGCCATCAAACGGTGAGAAGGTGTGGATGGGGAATTCTGCTCATTCCGAGGTTGAAGGCATGGGCAAGGTGGTCCTGAAGATGACTTCGGGCAAGGAGCTGACTCTCAACAATGTGTTGTACGTCCCGGAGATACGCAAAAACTTGATCTCGGGCTCTTTGTTGAACAAGCATGGGTTCCGCATGGTCTTTGAGTCGGACAAACTAGTTTTGTCCAAATCGGGAATGTATGTGGGGATGGGGTATGCAGTTGATGGGATGTTTAAGCTCAATGTAATGACTATTATTAATAATAATAATAAAATCTCTTCTGCTTACTTGCTTGAGTCTTCCAATGTGTGGCATGGTAGACTAGGACATGTTAATTTTAATTCTATACGTAGATTAATTAACATGGAACACATTCCTAAATTCACAATTGATGTGAATCACAAATGTGGAGTTTGTGTAGAGGCAAAACTAGCGAAAACGTCTTTCAAATCGGTTGAAAGAAAAACGGAGCCACTTGAATTAATTCATAGTGACGTTTGTGATTTTAAATCAATACAAACACGTGGCGGTAATAAATATTTTATTACTTTTATCAATGATAGCACTCGCTATAGCTATGTTTATTTATTAAAAAATAAACACGAAGCAATCGATAAATTCATTCTTTATAAGAATGAAGTGGAAAACCAACTTAATCGACGGATTAAAATGGTTAGAAGTGATCGAGGTGGTGAGTATGAAGCACCAATTGGTGACTTTTGCGCGAGCGTGGGTATAATACATGAACGTACCGCACCCTATTCACCTCAATCAAATGGTGTTGCCGAACGAAAGAATCGCACATTGAAAGATATGATGAACGCGATGCTAGTAAGTTCGGGCTTGCCACAAAATATGTGCGGCGAAGCAGTCTTGTCAAGCAATTACCTTTTAAATAAGGTTCCCCGGAAAAAATATGATAAAACTCCGTACGAGTTGTGGAAAGGCAGACGGCCTTCCTATCAATATTTAAAAGTGTGGGGGTGTTTGGCAAAAGTGCTTGTACCAACACCTAAGAAAATAAAAATAGGTCCAAAAACGGTGGATTATATTTTTATTGGATATGCACAAAATAGTAGTGCTTTTCGGTTTTTAGTGTACGATTCGAATAATCCGGATGTACATGAAAACACTATAATTGAATCAAGGAATGCCTCATTCTTTGAAGATGTATTTCCATGTAAGTCCAACGAAGGACCTAGCACGTCAAAACGAACATTTGACGTAGCTATGGAAAATACTAGCGAGGGATCCGGTGAAGAACCCGAACCCCGACGTAGCAAACGTGCTAGAGTAGAAAAATCCTTCGGACCGGATTTTCTCACATGCCTGGTAGAATTCGATTCGAATATTCTAACTTGTATGGTAGAAAATGAACCGGATTTTCTAACATGTTTGGTAGAAAATGAGCCACGGACTTATACGGAAGCCGTAACGTCTACCGAAGGACCGATGTGGAAAGAAGCCATCAAAAGTGAGGTGGACTCTATCCTAAAAAATCACACGTGGGAATTGGTTGATCTCCCTCCGGGATGTAAACCTTTGGGATCCAAGTGGATTTTAAACGTAAAATGAAACCGGACGGTTCCATTGATAAGTATAAGGCCAGACTTGTAATCAAGGGATACAAGCAACGCGAGGGCCATGATTACTTTGACACGTATTCTCCAGTGACGAGAATAAATTCCATTAGGATGATACTAGCGATTGCCGCTTTGCGGAATTTGGAAGTTCATCAAATGGACGTAAAAACCGCTTTTCTAAATGCCGATATAGACGAAGAAATCTATATGGAACAACCCGAGGGTTTTCGTGTTCCAAGCCAAGAAAAGAAGGTTTGTAAATTAATTAAATCATTGTAAGGATTGAAACAAGCCCCTAAACAGTGGCACGAAAAGTTCGATCATGCAATGTTAATTAATGGGTTTAAGATAAACGAAAGTGACAAATGCGTCTATGTGAAAAGCACGGTAGACGGCTATGTCATTTTATGTTTATACGTGGATAATATACTCATCGTGGGTAGCAATAATCAAATGATTAATTCTACCAAAAGCATGTTAAATTCTAAGTTTGACATGAAGGATATGTGGCTGGTCGATTTAATCCTTGGGATTAAAATAATTAGAGGACCTGACGGTCTAACGCTAAGCCAATCCCATTACGTTGATAAAATCCTTACTAAATTTAATAAGGATGATTATCAAGAGGCAAGGACGCCATTAGATAAAAACACTCATCTTACCAAAAATCGTGGAGAGTGTATTTCTCAAGTAGAATACGCTAGGATTATTGGAAGTTTGATGTATCTAATGAGTTGTACCAGGCCTGATATTGCCTTTGTGGTTAGTAAGCTTAGTAGATATACTAGTAACCCCGGTGATGAACACTGGAAGGCAATAGTGAGGGTTTTGAGGTATTTACGCAAAACCGAAAAACCTTGGACTGTACTATGGAAGATATCCAGCTGTACTTGAAGGGTATATAGCGACGCTAGTTGGATATCTGACATTAAGGACTCAAAATCCACAAGTGGATATGTTTTCACTTTGGGAGGTGCAGCCGTGTCGTGGAAATCCTCGAAACAAACGTTAATAGCTAGATCCACGATGGAATCTGAGCTAACAGTCTTGGATAAGTGCACTGAAGAGGCTGAATGGCTACGCCATTTTCTCGAGGGTATTCCAAGTTGGGAGAAGCCTGTCCCTCCAATATGCATACATTGTGATTGTCAAGTGGCAATTGGAAGGGCACAGAGCAATCTCTACAATGGTAAGTCTAGACACGTTCGTCGTAGACATAACATCATTAAACAACTCCTCACAACGGGTGTTATCACTGTTGACTACGTGAAGTCAAAGGATAACGTAGCGGATCCGCTAACCAAGACATTGGATAGAGAATTGTTGGAGAAGTTATCACGAGGAATGGGACTAAAGCCCGTAAATTGAAAAGTTCTATAGTGGATACCCAACCTAGTTAGTCCTAGGTTCAAAAGGGACAACAAAATTATAGAGCGAAGGATGGTCACTGTGGGGGTCCCGGACTCCTACCCACTCCTCGTTGGAAGAGTATGCGGGATACTCATGAAAGAATCACCTATGTGAGAGAGAAGAGGACCGCTTCAAAGGAGAACTGTAATGGCTCAGTTCTTTAGAAACTCTTGCAGAACCAGGACGGTGACCCATGGCCAAAACGGGCACACCCATGAGAACGGAACAAAGTTAGAAGGTTCTTGTGTAAAGATAAGTCAATGTTTACACGACGACAATATAGTTGAAGGACATCGAGTCTACTAGACAGCCAGTAAATAAACGTGTCTTTACAGCGGAAGGTTCAAAGGATAAAACCTACCTCTCCGTGTTCAGGGATCATCCGGTGAACACAACGTGTCCTCCTATCTTCGTGCCTTTTTAAGTCTCGAAAATCAATTTTCATTCATGTGGGGGATTGTTGGAAAAAGTGTGTTAAAAGTGTATTAAATGGTCATTTTGGGACAATTATTTGAGTGAGGTCCACTTTCGATTTGGGTCGGGTCAAAGTGGTTTCGGATTGTCCTTGCTAAGGGCTACAATTCGATATATGATACACTCAAAACGGATAACGGGTGAATGAGAAATTGTTTTTCGAAGTTTACCCATTGGAATGGAGAAAACTAGGAAAATGTGGGTTTTAGTGTGGGTTCTTTCCCACACCGAAAATCACAAGGGAATTTGAACCCTTTATAAAAGGAAACCCCCCCTAAGGAGTTAAGATTCCTAAAAGGAAAGGCTCTCTCACGCGCGCAGGGGGGGTGCGAATCAAATCCCGAAACCGAAGAACAAAAACCGCGACTTGCTCAATGCACATAAATGCCCATAAATGCCCAACGTCTATATGCTGCCATTGATGTCCCAACGTTCATATGAACGCTTTGGGTTGTTTAAGGACTAGAATCAATGCCCAACGTTTAGGACATTGATGTCCAACGATCATAACCCTTAAACAGCCATTAACACACCTTAATCCACCCCTATAAAAGTCTAGTAGGTGCTTTGCAAAGACACAACCTTTCATACACTTCGTTCACGTATTTTCATAGCTAAAACATCACCTCTAGCACTCCATACAAACTCCTTCAGTGTTCTGCTCTTGTTCACGTTCGTTGGAACTTTAGTTTGAGTGCTAAACTATTGTTCGAAGTCATCGTATCCTGGGAAACGATCGTTGCAACGCTCCTAGCACCCCGGGAGGCAACGAATATGTTTTAAGGAAATCGTGCGTAGCACGAGCTTTGACTTATTCTGCTTCTTCTCATTTCTTGTTTTTCTTTAAGTCATTTTATTTAATTAATCTTTCTTAATTAATTTTTTTTGTTTTTCGAAACACACCCAACAAAGTTTGTAAAGTTGAAAAAGCTTTAAAAATCTATTCACCCCTCTAGACTTTTACTTCTATCCGGGACCATCAGTCTACTTCTATGGTTCATGATTGGATCTGTAAAATCTGTCTGGAGATTATCTTGTATGTTTTCTAAATTTAATATAAAAATCGTTTTTTTGTGTTCAAAAACAATTTGAACTTCATTGATTTTAGTATTATACGGAGTATTATGAGACTTGGATCAATATAATCAGCTTGAGAGGAATTAGAGCATATTGTCACGAATCTCCCGATGCCGCGGCATGACAGGCCAATACGCCGCGGCATGACATGGAATACGCCACGGCATAACCGTGGCCAGGTGACAAGGAAGAGTCTAGAACATCCCAAGAGGAAGGGGCAGAATCCTGGAGGCTAAGAGAATATTCTAGACTCGTGTAGATACATATACACTTGTAAAGAGTATAGTAGAATATTCTAGAATATGATAGAGTTGTATAGAATATTCTAGAATTAAACCATAGCCGTTAGATCAAATAGATCTCAACCATCCATTGAGGAGGAGGGCAAGTATAAATACCCCTCAAGGTGGCTCATTTGTACACATCGAAGTTTCCAAGCATTCAATAAAGTCTCAAGCTTTCTTCAAGTGTTCTTGCCTTTAACACATTCCCTTCTAGCCAAGCACTTAAAAACACACAACACTAAGGAGTTGTCCAGGCTGACTTAGCTACTACGAGGGGCAGAAAGGAGCTAAGGCCGCACGTGAGCTTGTTGAGGGAACAAGTCCGTGACAGTTGGTATCAGAGACAGGTTCAGGTTCGGGTTCGTGTTGTGCACATTTGGGAGCATGGCTGGAAACGTTGACACTAGCATGTCCAACTTCACCGAGGAACGTGGGAGGGATGCTAATCCTAACCATGGCAAGAAGAAGCGTGATCAAAGCAAAGCTCGAGGGGAGATTCTTGCTTTGGAGGAAGCTGTTGAAGGGCTAGGCGCTAAGCTCGAGAGGGTCGAGAACGGCGCAAACTTGCTGGAGAACCATATGTTTGAGCAACTTAGCCTTGTGAAGGATGATGTGGGGGACCTCGATGGCCGATTTGTTCAACTGGAGGAAAAGGTAATGGATGCTATCCAATCTTTACAAGTTAGTCTTGAGGGTATGCGTGAAGAGTTGGCGTTGTGTAAAAAGGCTGCTGCCAGTGGTGGGGCAACGATCAACCTAGCCCATACCCCTAAGATTGATTATCCGAAGCCTTCTAAGTTCCATGGAGTTCGAGATGCTAAGGAAGTCGAGAACTACCTATGGCAAATGGAGCAATACTTTGACAACCTCAACCTAGAGGATGAGACGGCGAGGATCAAGACGGCCACATCCTACCTAGTGGATACGGCCATGTTATGGTGGCGAAGAAGGCATGCGGACATTGAGCGGGGCGTTGCACGGATTGACACTTGGGACGACTTCAAGAAGGAGTTAAAGAGGCATTTCTATCCGGAGAACGTCGTCTTCGAGGCACGCAAGAAGCTAAGGAAGTTGAAGCAAAGAGGTACGATTCGTGACTATGTGAAAGACTTCACAACCCTTATGCTCCAAATCCCCAACTTGTCCCAAGAAGACCTACTTTTCTATTTCGTGGATGGGTTACAAAGTTGGGCTAAACAAGAGGTGCAACGGCGGAATGTTCAAACGGTGGATGAAGCCATTGCCGCTGCTGAATCCTTGATGGACTTCCAGCACCATAGTTATGGGGAGGCATCCAAGAGAAAAGACAAGAACCCCGTCAAAGGTGGGGGAGAGAGACACGACAACGTGGGAAAAGAGAACCCACGAAAATCATTCTTCAAGAGGGGAGACAAGAGTTTAGGGCGTGAGGAGTACGAGGCAAAGAAGAAGTCCTTTGTACCGAAGGGTGGTTGCTTCGTAGGCAAAGGACCGCATACCATGAAGGACTGTCCTAAGCTTGGTTCATTGTCTGCCATAGTAGAGCAACAAGAAGCGGAAGCCCGAGATGAGGAGACGAGCAAGATGGGATCTCCCCAAATCCTTAATGCTCTCAAGGCGAAGCCGATGCCTACGACGACAAGCAAGGGGCTCATGTACGTTGAGGCATACATCAATGGGAAACCAACAAGGGCGTTGGTGGACACGGGCGCAACGCATAACTTTGTGACTGAGGAGGAAGCCAAGAGGGTTGGTCTTCAATGGTCCAGAGGCGAGGGGTGGCTTAAAACAGTTAATGCCAAGGCTCAGCCCCTGAACGGCGTGGCACGAGGTGTGAATCTACGCCTAGGCGCTTGGAAGGGCCAAGTGGATTTTTCGGTGGCACCAATGGATGACTTCAAGGTTGTTCTAGGGATGGACTTCCTGAGACAGGTAACTGCGATCCCTATGCCATCCTTTAGCACGGTTTGCATTCTTGAGAAGGGTTCACTGTGCATGATACCGACATTGGAAACTCCCAATGAGCGGCCAAGTGGGGCTAAGACATTGTCGGCTATGCAAGTAGCCAAGGGGGTGAAGAAGGGAGAACCGACATTCTTAGCCGTACTCAAGGTGGATGATGAGACGGAAGGGCCGACAGACATACCACCTCTTATTCAAGCTGTCCTTGAGGAAAACAAGGACGTGATGCCGGCGAAGTTACCCGACAAGCTACCACCTAGGAGGGAGGTGGATCACAAGATCGAGTTGGAACCGGGTGCCAAACCACCCGCAATGGCACCCTATCGCATGTCCCCAAGTGAGCTCGAGGAGCTACGTCGCCAACTCGATGAGCTGTTAGGGACCGGGAAGATGAGACCGTCGAAGGCACCTTATGGCGCACCGGTACTATTCCAAAAGAAGCATGATGGGACGCTAAGGATGTGCGTGGACTACCGGGCGCTTAACAAGGTAACGATCAAGAACCGCTATCCTATTCCGTTGATTGCCGACCTATTCGACAGACTTGGTGGGGCCAAGATATATACAAAGATGGATCTACAAAAAGGTTACTACCAAGTACGAATAGCGGAAGGAGATGAGCCTAAGACCGCATGTGTTACACGCTATGGCTCGTTCGAGTGGTTAGTCATGCCCTTTGGACTAACCAACGCACCAGCCACATTTTGCACGCTCATGAACAAGATCTTCCAACCCTATTTAGACCGGTTTGTGGTGGTATACTTGGACGATATTGTGGTTTATAGCAACTCCATGGAGGAGCATGTGGAACACTTACGCATTATCTTCCAAGTACTCCGGGAGAATGAGCTTTATGTCAAGAAGGAGAAGTGCACGTTCGCCACGGAGGAAGTACACTTTCTTGGTCATGTCATTGGGCATGGGAAACTCATGATGGACATGGGGAAGATTAGGGCAATCGTGGAATGGGAGGCACCGACCAAGGTAACCGAATTACGGTCATTCCTTGGGTTAATAAGTTACTACCGGCGTTTCATCGAGGGATATTCGAAGAGGGCAGCCCCATTGACGGACCTACTCAAGAAGGGGAAAACTTGGGAATGGTCCGACCTATGTCAAGAGGCCTTTGATGACCTGAAGGCCGCGGTGAGCCAAGAGCCCGTTCTAGCTCTACCGGACTTTGACAAACCATTTGAGGTACAAACCGATGCCTCCGACTTTGCCATTGGAGGAGTGTTGATGCAAGAGAGGCATCCAATAGCATTCGAGAGCCGCAAGTTGAACGAGACGGAGCGGCGTTACACCGTGCAAGAGAAGGAGATGACCGCGGTGGTTCATTGCTTGCGCGTATGGAGACACTACCTCTTAGGCGCAAAATTCATCATCAAGACAGACAACGTGGCAACGAGCTATTTCCAAACTCAAAAGAAGTTATCACCTAAGCAAGCTAGGTGGCAGGATTTCTTGGCGGAGTTCGACTACACTTTGGAGTATAAGCCCGGGAAAGCCAATGTTGTAGCCGACGCACTTAGTAGGAAGGCAGAGCTCGCAGCCATTAGTCAAGCGGAGGGGGACCTGATCGGGCGCATCAAGGAGGGACTTGAACGCGACCCCATGGCGAAGGAGTTGATGAAGCTAGCCAAGGAGGGCAAAACCCAACGGTTTTGGGAAGAGGACGGCCTTCTCTACACAAAGGGGCGTCGTCTTTATGTCCCAAAATGGGAGAATTTAAGAAGAGATCTCGTCAAGGAGTGCCATGACACGAAGTGGGCTGGTCATCCCGGCCAAAAACGCACCCTAGCACTTGTCGAGACAGCATATTTCTGGCCACAGATGAGGGACACTGTGGAGCTTTATGTGAAGACCTGTCTTGTGTGCCAACAAGACAAGGTGGAGAATCGGCAACCCGCAGGACTGCTGGAACCATTGCCCATTCCCGAACGACCATGGGACTCTATTTCTATGGACTTCATTAGTGCCCTACCGAAGTCCGAGGGGTTTGGATCTATCATGGTGGTGATAGATCGATTTTCTAAGTATGGGACGTTCATCCCGTGCATGAAAGACTGCACAGCGGAGGAGGCGGCACGGGGGTTCTTCAAGAACGTGGTGAAGTATTGGGGACTTCCAAGGAGCATAGTGAGTGACTGAGACCCCCGCTTCACGGGCCGACTATGGACTGAGTTGTTTAAGTTGCTGGGGACACAACTCAACTTCTCTACAAGCTTTCACCCTCAAACCGATGGGCAAACCGAACGGGTGAACGCCTTGCTAGAGTGTTACCTTCGGCACTTTGTAAGTGCCAACCAGCGAGATTGGGCAAGACTCTTGGACATAGCCCAATTCTCATACAACTTGCAGCGGAGTGAGTCTACGGGACGAAGTCCATTTGAGCTTGCCACGGGGCAACAACCACTAACTCCACACACTTTGGCCACGCCACTCCAAGATGGGAAGAGCCCGGGAGCATTTAAGATGGCGAAGTCTTGGGAGGAACAAGCCGATCTAGCTCGTTCGTGTTTGGAGAAAGCACGCAAGCGGATGAAGAAGTGGGCGGACGAGAAGAGGCGGCCAAAGGAGTACACCGTGGGGGACTTAGTCTTTGTGAAGCTCTTACCACAACAATTCAAGGTATTGAGAACCTTACACAAAGGCCTAGTCCGTAGATATGAGGGGCCATTCCCGATTATTGCTAAGGTAGGAAAAGTTTCGTATAAGCTCGACCTACCCAGCACATTGAAGATTCACCCGGTCTTCCACGTGAGTATGTTGAAGCCTTATCATGGGGATGAGGAAGACCCAAGCCGGGGGTTATCAAGCCGAGCACCGCCTGTAGTCACTAAGTCTTACGACAAAGAGATTGAAGACGTGCTCGCAACAAAGGAGGTTAGGAAGAGGGGCGTTCCACGCCAAAATCACTACTTGATCAAATGGAAGGGACTACCCGAGTCGGAAGCAACGTGGGAACCTGAAGAAGACTTGTGGCAGTTCCGGGACAAGCTCGAGGCGCACAAGGCGACGAGGACGTCGCCAAGTTAGGTGGGGGAGAATGTCACGAATCTCCCGATGCCGCGGCATGACAGGCCAATACGCCGCGGCATGACATGGAATACGCCACGGCATAACCGTGGCCAGGTGACAAGGAAGAGTCTAGAACATCCCAAGAGGAAGGGGCAGAATCCTGGAGGCTAAGAGAATATTCTAGACTCGTGTAGATACATATACACTTGTATAGAGTATAGTAGAATATTCTAGAATATGATAGAGTTGTATAGAATATTCTAGAATTAAACCATAGCCGTTAGATCAAATAGATCTCAACCATCCATTGAGGAGGAGGGCAAGTATAAATACCCCTCAAGGTGGCTCATTTGTACACATCGAAGTTTCCAAGCATTCAATAAAGTCTCAAGCTTTCTTCAAGTGTTCTTGCCTTTAACACATTCCCTTCTAGCCAAGCACTTAAAAACACACAACACTAAGGAGTTGTCCAGGCTGACTTAGCTACTACGAGGGGCAGAAAGGAGCTAAGGCCGCACGTGAGCTTGTTGAGGGAACAAGTCCGTGACAATATACTCCCTTCGGTTCTTAATTAATTTTACATTTTCTTTTTGGGTTGTCCCATATTAAACATTACACTTCCTTATTTGTTTTGTTTGGCAAACAAATCTACACGAAACAGTACAAAACAATATCAAAACAGTGTACTCTACACTAAAATTTACCTCTCAGTAAATTTATTTTGTTAATATATATGAAGTCAAAGTGTAAACTTAATAAATTTAATTAAGAATAGGAGGGAGTATAGATTACATTGACTAGTACTGGTCAACATAATTTTGTGTAATTTGTGTGATAGCGTGACACGTTTATGGTGCTGCCATGATGGTGCCGGACAAGTTCCGTTCCTAATTTTCCTTCACAAATTTCCTTTTTTTCTGTCTCCCTAGTCCCTATTACAACTCCAACATTTTCTTCTTCTCGTTCTCCAACTGGATTATTCGAGTACCACATTTTTTATGCCGGCCTCTCCTTACATTGCTTTTTTTTAACCTTTTATGGTTCTATTTTTTTTTGGGTTAAGAAAGATGACTTTGTGCCAATTGTGTGTGCTGGCTATGATAATGGCCTGAAGGGTGGACATTTCCATCCCAAAGGTTTTATATACGGAGTAAGTGTTAGGATAGGAATTAATTAGGTATTATAAATTGTCACATATTTCAAGGGTATTAAAGGAAGTTTAGTCCAAGTCATTGGATAAGTTTTGGAATTCTTGCTATATTTGGAAAAGATAAGAATGAAGTGGCCGGTTAGTGTAGACCTGTACAAAAACGGGTTCGAGCCGGGCTCGGGCCAGGCATTTTATAATTTTTCTGCCCATCATGTGTGGGCAGGCCCGGCTCGGCCCGCAAAAACGGGCCTAACCCTATGTCCATACCTGCCCATAAGAGTGGGCCGGGTAGTCCACCGGGCCGCCCGGCCCGGGAATACTTTAATTTTTTCAAAATTATGTGATTTTTTAAATACTTTAAAACTAATATTACAACATTTAGAAAATAATTAATACGCTTATAATGTTTATACGTCTTTCACCACATACAAAAAAAATACTTACACAAAAATAATAATGAGAAAATATATCTAAAATTTAAAATTTAAGCACAAAGTATTATCTTTAAGTACAAAATAGATATTATATTGGTTGGGCTAGTGGTTAAGAACTAAAATTTTAAATTTAAACATAATAAACTATAAATATGTATAAAGAAAAATTAGTAAATATAAATATACATGTGTATATGCAAATAAATAAATAAATTAGTATATACTTGTGTATATATATATATATATATATATATATATATATATATATATATATATATATACACTAAATGTAGCGGACCGGGCCTATCGACTCGAACGGACCTACACCCTAACCCAAGCACGCCCATATCTTATTGCGGGTCGGGCTCAGACTGGGCCAGTGGGTAAATATATATGCCCAAGCCCGCCCATTTGTCCAGGTCTAGGTTAGTGGACCCTTTTCTTGTGGAACAAGAATGAAATAAGAGGAAGACTAACAGATTAGTTAGGAAGTCTTATACTCCCTCCGTTCTTAAATATGAGTCCTCTTATGCTTTGGCACGAGTTTTAAGAGGAAAATAATAGGGGTAGTGTAAAAGGTGTAGTGGGTTGTGGGTAAATGAAAAAATAGGAAAGAGAAATAAAGGGAAAGAGGGACAAATAATTAAAAACGTCCCAAAAAGGAATGCCAGACAGTCAATAAAGAACAGAGGGAGTATATAACTCTTTTATGTATACATTTACAGTAATGATTTCGTTAGGATGTTTTTACTTGGACTGTAATTTGTTGGTCTGGTCTGGTCTGGTTTGAACTGGTCTGGTCTGGTCAGGTCTGATTTCTTTGTATTTTATAACTATCCAAGTCTGGTCTGGTCTGAACTAGTCTGGTCTGGTCTGATCTGGGAGGAATTACAGTCCAAGTAAAAACATCCTTAGTCCGGACTGATGACAACAGCCGTCTGGCCAAGCCCGTATGAGGGCTTTCCAGATCGATTATTTTTGATTAAATATTTTGAACATGTTCTATGAAGTGTAGAACATTCACACAAAATTTCAGCTAAAAATTTAATCGAAAAATTAGTTAATAAGTACTCCAAATATAGATTTAATTAGAATCTGATACACTTCTTTAAAATGTTTAAATTCCTTTGACTTGCTATATTCTTTAACTGCAAATATAGATTCTATTAGAAATCTATAAGTACTCCAAATATAGATTTGAAAAAGAAAATTAGACGGAAAATACAAGTCAAAGGAATTCATGAAATGCCTTCTTTTTCTCACATATGTATTACTGTTGAATATCGTATTTCAAAATGTTTTAATACTTTTTGACATTTTACCATCATTATTACTTGATGATAAAACAATAAACTAATAAAAAAAATCTGATCAAATAAAAATGAACCTTACTCATAAACACTTTAAACACATTTGCTTGAATCATTGGAGTATGTCAACTTTTCTTTTTGTTTATTCCAAAAAATTATTTTTACTTCTGGAATTGATGTTTTGTGATTCTACTTACTTCTTTTTCCTCTGGAGAACTATGAAATACACAATTTGACTTTTTTTTCACACAAATGTTCAATCAGTTAAATTTTTTAAATTAATACTACTAAAAGAATGTAAAGAAAAGCAAGACAAAAATGTGGGCCCTTGATTTTTTATCAAATCAGATCAGACGCAATGTTGTCTCGAAATATTACTGATAGAATCGTGAGAACATGTAAAAAAGATGCTAATTCTTAATAAAAGGGCCACCAAATCTTGACCAAGGTAAAGATGATCAATTTATCATTTTGCCTGTGGGGGAAAATTAATAATTGTAATTACTTCGTATCATATACTGTAAGCAATATTTGTTTTGGTCTTAAAAATTAGAAATTGAAAGACTCAAACTTATTAGCCCTCTAATTCATATACGCAAATTATATTGTGAAAAATAGTTTGCATGTGTCTAGTAACAATAAGTAATCAATTTGCAAAATGTTTGTTTTCAGTCATTTTTTTGGATTTAGAATGCATATGGTAACTCATACTATCAGTTATCACCCTACTATTTTAACAAACATATAGCTGTGCTAAATTGTGTCATATTGTAAATAATTATAGTTGTAGTTACTTTTCTAAATCAATTGACTGAACAACTGAACTGATATTTTTTTAGCTATTTCTATATAATCTTTTTTAGCTATTTATATATAATTTTTCATTAAATTATTAACAAACTATTACATATATTTTAAATATAATTTTTATCGTTTAGACAATTATTAAATTAATGCCAACAACAATTCAACTATTTCAATCAAAACTTCACCAAAATTCAGCCCATTTAATCAATTTCAGATTTCGTTCGATAATCCTTTTACTAAACACGTAACTTTTTATTTCAACGTTAATTTTTTATGCAACAGGTAACTTTAACATTATCTTTTTTTATTATTGCACATTTCTGCGTATGAAACCAAACGTAGCCTATTGTAATATTACAATACCAATATTTTTTTTGATTTGCCAAAAAAGGTGCATGCATACAAAAAGACTTATTTACATACGGATTATTTTATATAAATTATTCCTCTGTAATATTTATGACTTTTTGTAATTAATTAATTTTAATATCATGTAAATGTAGACAAATAAAAAAGAATTGCTACTCGCCTCAACTTCTTCCGCAATTATAAGTTCACTAGTTTAATAACGCGCGTTGCGCGTTCGTAGTAATGCCCAATCCCAATGTAGAGATAACAATATCTTAGTTAAAGTTTAATGAAAATATGACTAATGAGTAAAATAGTTGAATACAAAATTTGTTATTTATGGATAAAGAATCATAAACAGTAAAGCATTTATAGGATAGAATATATGTGGGAAAATAAAATAGACTATATGATTATAATAAACAAAATAGTAGTGAGATTCACATGAAACAGTAGTATGTATTTGTGTTTTATATCAAAACATACATAATAAACACAAAAATATTTTAATCAAAGAAGTAGTCAAATATGTATTGAGATGTAGCGCTTGAAAGAAAATTAAAGCAAAAGTTCTATGAAAATAGTTGGAGTAATGATGATAAGTAATCAAGCTTTTCTCTTACGCTTCAAATCAACAGGCGAATCTTCTACTATCGAGTGTGGGAGCTTCATCTTTGATGAAGGTGGGGTTGATGGATCAATGTTGGTTGTGACAATGTAATGAGATGCATCATGCAAAGACGTTATGGTGTAAGAGGGTCCTGATTTGGTTTGATAAGTACTTGCTTGTGACCTCAGTTGTACAATATACAACGAACTCATTTTAAACTTAAGCAACTTAAGCTAACCTAGCTGAGCACCAAATATAGGGAGAAAAATCAGGGCAGAACCCCAATCAAATTCAGGAGCGAATTAAATTAAATACACCGTTAGAAACAACATTATCAAAACGATCTTAAGTTGATAAAATCAGAACGAACTGAAGCTGCATTTTGTATTTCATCTTTTTCCTTCACTCCTTAAGTTTTAATATTATCATATCCTATTCTCATTTTTACTCATTTTTAAAAAACAGTATATCTGTTTCTAGGTGTCTAACACATGTATGTTTTATCATTGTAAAACTCATTTCTTTCTAGCTATAACTTTGACTTTGATTTCTGATTGTTTTGATACTATCACAATTACATGATTATCAAATATGTAGATGAATTTGTATGAAAGTAAGCAATTTCAATCACAAAAAAAAAACAGATTGCGGTAAATGAAATGCAAATTCACATAAAGGCTAGACCTTTTTTCCTAATTTCACAAGAAAAACTATTTTACAAAATATCTAATATATATGACTAAATACTAAGTGTAAAGTCAATTAGACCAGCCATTTCTTTCCTTTCTGTTCATAATTCTGTTTACTAAACAAGTTTGAAAGAAAAAGGGCAGAAGAGGATGTAGAAGCTCTCAGGAGAAAGACAACGCGTCTAAGGTCACAAATTGAGGGGTCATCTAAAATTGAAAAGCATCGACAGACACTAACGGAGTACAAAGAAATACTCAATTGTGGTGTGCCTCAGTGTCACACAAAGTACCGGGAGCAATCATTAATGTTTAAAAAAACTATAAAATCTTCATAGGTTGAAGCACGTATGGAAATCACACATGAATCAGTAAGATTATTAAGCAATTTATAAGCTTCGTTTGTGGGAGAAAATCAAATAGGTTAACGTTTACTGTGCAGCATAAAGCTAAACAATGTAGTTCACCACCTTACCAAGTGAGATGATAAAACTATATTTGGAAATGATTTCAAGTTTGACTTTATCTAAAGCTAGTATGATATATTGGTTATTCAAATACTCCCTTCGTCCCAATTTGATAGTCTCATTTCTTTTGGTCACAAGTTTTAATAAAGTGGTTGAAAAGGTAAAAGTTGTGGTTGAGATTTGAGTATAATAAAGTGAAATGATATGGACCACATCTTTCTTTCCAAAAAAGGAAACAGGACTATCATTTTGGGACATCCCAAAAAGGATATACAAGACTATCATTTTGGGGCGGAGGGAGTATTCAATAGGATCTGCACCAATCCATTTATTGCCTTTGAATATTTCATCACTTACCCCATTGTTCAGCTTTAAGATTTGAGTTGAATTAAATTCTTTCCGTTTGACTTCAATTAGGTGATGATTTTTTAAAAACTGCAGCAACAACAAAGGTTAGCTACTCTGTCTTAGTTGGAGTATAAGAAACACAATGTTAATGAAACTTTTTAATAAGCCCTTATTCCTTAATAGAAATCCACTTTAACAGTTTTGGTAGCAGGTTTATTTTAACGCTTTGCCTTACTCAAATGCTTACATTTGAGCATTTTATAAAAAACCAACATGAAAAACATATTATGCCCAATTATAAACTTACTATAAGTTAATCATTTATTCTATCATAGAGTTTTTGAGAAGAAGCAAATGAGAGAAACACTTTTTAAATGCGTATACCCAATCATACACACCTGTTTCAAAGAAAATTCAAAAGAAATACTTTTTAATTGCTTATACAAAAATCAGAACAACAGGTCAAAAGCAGCATCCATAATAACGATGTAGTAAAATCAAGTTTTTTTTTATTCCAAAAGTCAGAACAAGAGGTCATGAATATCAATTACTAAATCATCCATACGTAGTAGCAGTATCACACATTAAAGCACTTCAAGTTTATTCAAAAAATATTTTTTTTTATTCCAAACAGTCACCACTACAAAACACTGGCTATTTCAAACAAAAGTAATCGGATATTTGGATGGCTTAAGCGACATAAACCAGAATATAACTTCTAAAAGCAGAGAAAGAGTTGCCATGTTTAAGTAGTATACCTGCAAAATCTGACCCCAATGCTAAACTAATTAACAAGGGGTGAACTAATTTATTTTTTTAAACAGACAGTTGTTATAATTAAAATAGAGTTATATATAAGTTAAGTATACTGCCAATATTGCACTTAAGTTAGCAACTCTGGAGTTTCGCCGTTTAAAAATGATTTTGCTTGAAAAGTTATCCCCTTCTTTTAACTCCTATATAAAACACGCAGCTATGTCTGTGAACGGTTAGCCACCTCTAAACATATATATCAGTCAATATCACCTGATAACTTCACCAAATTATCCGATAAGAAAAAATGCGAAAATTATTCACTCTTAAATGTACTTGCACATTATGCTTTTTTCGGTTTTGTCCAAGTAACTAATACACATTTGTATTTGTCTTCCTTCCGTTTCCGTAGACAGCTGAATTCAGGAGTCACAAAGAGAGTATTGTTTTCGAGTTTTAAGGTCATATAGGCCGTCTCATCACCATGTGGTATGTATATTTTCTCCAACTTATGGATATCATTCAAGTTTTCATTTAATTTCAAGTTTCATACTGTTATAAAGATGTCATAAGAGAAATATAGTGTAACTTAAGTTATAATGTTATAACTTAATTAATTTATTTGACACTGCTAATCCGAGTTCAAGCGGTGGTTTTTGACAACGACATCCCAAGATACACCAATAAATTAGTAGCTAACATTGATTTCAACTTGACAATGATAATAAAGTGTTGGCTGGAGTTAGTATATTTTATCAAAATGAATTCTGTTTGATTTTCTCTGGCAGTATAGAACTGTAGTATTCTGCCAAATAGCATGATTCTATGACAATAAGTTTTTGGTTCTAATGGGAGGAACCAAAAATATTAAGCACATGAAACATAGTCAATGATTTTAAAGCCCCTAGTTATCCTTCTGCAGATAAAGCACAATGAACAACTCAAATAAAAAAGGGACTTTAGTTTGTCCAATAGCTCTGAGTCGAAATTCAAGCTTCTTCACTCGGTCTTATTTACTACATTCCTAGCAACGCCTGCATTCATTAATGAAAACATGCCCCTTTGGGCACTTGAACACGTGAAATCATCACCACCTAATTTCTATGTGAAATATACTCCACTACTACCACAAGAAAAAGTAAGTGGCTCAACAACTAAGAACAAAAGTTCTATCAATCTCCAGAATGATATTACAGTTTTTAGAACCATGCTATTTGGTAGAATATCAGTTTTTAGAACCAAATTATCTTGTTTTTAGAAACATGTTATACAATAAGAAGAAACATGCTATACAATCAGTTTTAGAACCAAATATGTTGATATGAAATACTCAGTAGGCTAATAGTCTCAGGCAGTTTTTAGAACAAATATGACTATTCTTTCTCCAGAAATACAGGCTATAAGCACTCAACCTAAAGGATTTCTGAATGCGCTGCATCAATTAACAAGTAGTAAATCAATCTTTTTACTAAATTACAAACACATGAGTTTAAGATACTAAAATAGATTATGTCTAGCCCAAACCAACAACAGCTCTATGTTGTTTGCCGAAGTATATATGCACCGACAAGGAATCTAAAACTTACCCCTCACCCCGGACTAAACGCCTCCCAGCTTTATCAAATCCAAGTCCTTCAGAGTAAAGGGAAGAAGAATAGCAGAAATGAATGTGTGTGATGAAGCCAAGTTTAAATGCTAGACATATTTAAATCAATCTCATGTTTGTAATAAGCCCCTTCTTGATGGATGTCCCTCAAATAAACTGACATATTACAAGAGACGGGAAGTGATATTGACATATTACACTTTTAGTATGTATATCATTTTTATAAAGCTTTTGAATTAAGATTCTAGCCATGCTACTGCCTTTGTTTTGCAGAGCATTGCTTTTGACATATGCTTGAAGTCATGCGGACATTTAAACAAACACATAAATGACACATTAAAAAATGGAAACTTCACAAGGGCAAGGTGGAATTATCAACTATAGCCACCCAAACTACCACCATAAAGAAACCTGGCAGTCCGTAAGTTCAATGAAAAAAAAATTTGGGTGGCGACAAATTTAGACAGAGAAAAACCCAAAAAAATCTCCATTGAACTAATTATACGAAACATTTGAAAGGTGTAGAATAAAACAGAGATGCGGAAAACAAAGGGATAATCACACAAATCCGCAGGCAAAGAAACTATAGAATGCTAAATGATTGAATATAGAGGAAAAACTAACCAGAGTAGAACAGGACAGAAGCTGAAAATTGATTCAATAGCTGTGGCACGACATTTATAAGCAACCAAGGGAGGACGCTTGAGAAACCGAACTGTCCAAACGCCATTACTGTGGAGGAGCTATGTTGAGCGGTTGAAACGGAAGGGATGAGTCGAAGCGGCGCTGAGGATTTCAACGTATAATAAGGTATAATAAAGAGTCGAGAAGGTCAGAAGGAATAGGTTAAGGCTGAGCTGTTTTTTTCAATGTATAATGCGAGACATGTTTCCTCCGTAATAATAAGGACATAACGGTGGAAAGTGATGAGTTTAAAGATGTACAACAAAGTTAACAGGAAGTACATTCAGCTTGTGCATCAAGAACAACCAACATTTTTTGTATGTCAGTTTAACCCTTGACAATATTCAGGCTTATACTAATGTAGAGAAATGTTCAATAGGACGAGTCTAGATTGTACACTCACACGCTCACATGTAACATTGCAACTATAAGACGTAAACTCATACTCCCATTTCGTTATTTGCCAAATTATCTACACCAAAACAACTTCTCACTTTCCTTTTCGGGCAGTCCCGAAATTAACTTCACACTTCTTCCCATTTCATTATTTGGCAAATTATCTACATCAAAACAGTGCAAAACAGTGCAAAACAATGTCTAAACAGTGTCAAATAGTGCACTTCACAGTAAAGTCAAATTTATTTTCTTAATCTGTGTGAAATCAAATTGGAAAGTTTATTGTGAACCGGAGGGAGTAATATATTTTTGTATTACACGGGTACGATTGTGTTTCATCTAAAGATTGTACGGAGTATTATTATACAATTGAGTGGAAACTACAAGTAATTTATTGAAGAGAGATCCATTTTTACAAAATTCATCCAGTAAAGAAATTAGACATCTAAAGAGAAATTGTCACTCATAGATTTGTTATGCGTAATACGTCCTACTTGTTTTACCATAGTAGTAATTCCGATTATGAATGTGGTGGTGTCGGTGGCAGGTGTGGCAAAGGCAGGGCCGGTCCTGGGGCCAACAAAGGGGCGATGGCCCTAGACCCTAATATGTAGATCGAAAAAAACAGGGCCAAATTTTTTCTCCATATATAGTGTGAGTAGATTTTTTTTCTTAAGTTCAATTAATTGGCCTAATGCCCTAATGTTTAATTTTTGTTGACAATTTGAAAAAAATGAATATAAGTAAAATGTCTTAAACGAGCTCAGGTTTAAAAAATGAATATACTTTAATTCTAAGTAGGATCAGTGGTAGTTTTTAAAGAAACACAATGAATCAATAAAAGACACGTCTCTTCACTCTTCACATTTCTTTAATTTTTATTGTTTTTTATTCCTTTTAAGCGAATACTGATGATTTTGTTACACGTTGTTCTGCGAGAAACGATTTAAGTAATATATTTTTTTTATGTAATACTTGTGTTGCTACGTTTTCTCAAATGTGTAATTTAAATAACATCAAAGTGATTTTGGCCTTTATTTTATGAGCTTTACTAGAAATTTTTGTTATAATTCATATTTTAAATATGTATAGTTTACACTTTATCCTGTGTATAAGCCTATGCAATATAGTATATCTCGCTCATAAGCCCATAAATGATCAGGACCGGCCCTGGGCAACCCTGGGCAAAAGTGGAAGTTGCACCACCACCGCTATCACCATAAACACCGCTACTACCACTCCACGTACTAATGCTAGTGCTTCCGCCGCCGCCATCGCTACTACTACTACTACTATTATTATTATTATTATTATTATTATTATTATTATTATTATTATTATTATTATTATTATTATTATTTCACAATAAAAGTAGCAATGTGCATGTATAGTTATTAATGTGTCCTATTGTGTATAAACCAAATAAAAGATGTGTACGTTTCATATACTCCATTGTAATATGTATTATTCAAATGTCAATTTATTATAGATTTTATATGTATATATTAATAAGAATTACGGTCAAACGTCCGCCTAAGAGACCGCAAGAGTCAAACTGTGAGTTTGATTGTGAAACGGAGGGAGTATTATATTGCCAATATACTTAGCTTGTCTCTGAAGCAAAGAATAATATGAACTGTTTCCTTCCACATCTCCTACCTTAGCTTGATCATATTCTCACATTTATTTACTTTATTAATATGTGGCTTTTGCATGGAGACTCAAAGTAGCTGGAACACCTGGCCTCTTGAATTGATGTATACATAAAATTACTATATATAGATCAGAGAGGCACATGCATGTTGCACAATTATGGAGACGCAGAAGATTGAAGAAGAATGGGAAATTGACCCTTCCAAGCTCCTCATTAAAGATTTTATTGCTCATGGCACTTTTGGCACCGTTTACCGTGGCATCTACGATGGCCAAGACGTTGCAGGTCAGATTCAACTTTTCATTGGAATGATTAATATGGAGTATATAAAAGTATATCAAATTTATACATTTTTCGCACATATTTATATCGTTTATAATATTATTTATACCTATCATATAATATTTATATCAACAAATAATATTACATTCACATATTAGTAGCATGTATAATCTTTACATAAACAAAACCTAAAGAAGAGAAACTTAAAAATTAAAACTCTAAAAGGCAAAAGAATCAATAAGAAAGAGTAGTACATAATAATACTAATATATGACGAGTTTCAATTAAAGGTCAGAGTCATAAAGAATAAAGAGAAAAGTAATTCCTATCAAAATATCCTATTATGTGTCGGTGCTTGTTTTTTTTACTTATAAGCTATACTATACTTGCTAGTATCATTTTAGAATGGGAATTCCATTTACGTAGAACTCCAGCTAAGCTAAGGGAAAGTTCCTGAAATAGAACTAAAACAGTTTCAAAATTTCATAATAGGACTACCATGTTTTTTATTCTCAAAATAGGACTAATTACTGCCATGTTTGAAGTCTGGTTCTGCCAAAACATGACAGTAATTAGTTATATTTTGGAATTTTCAAACTGTTTTAGTCCTATTTCGGGTAATATCTCTTAGTTTAATTTGATCACAGCTGGAGGAAAAAATTGTATGAATCTATTGCAAGGGGATGTTCCGAATATAGATTTTAAAGGATCTTCGAAGAATTATAGTCTATATGTTTAGAGCATTGAGCTGTACACATTTTTGTGTACACCTTTTGTACACTCATCTATCTGTCTCACACACAAAAAATTGTCTGTCCACAGACAATTCTACAGAGTTGTCTGTGGACAGACAATTCTATGTGCGTGAGACAGACGAATGTACAAAAAGTGTATATTAAAATGTATACACAAAGCATTTTTCATGTGTTTAAATAGAAACCCACAAATTCTATTGTATTCCAATAGGATTGTATGAAATCCATAAGAATCCGAGAGTAAGTGGCCGGATTTTGATAAGCTTGAATATAGGTCTTTTTAGTTTTGAAATCTATAAGAATCTATATAAATTCACTATTTAAGAGGTGTCCCCAATTCGGATTCTGGAGGATTTTAATGGAGTTTAGAATTCCGTCAGAATTCAGGTGTCCCCGATTTGGATTTCTGTGGAATCCGTGAAAATAAGGATGTCCTCAAACATTCTGTGATTTCTGTTGTTACTTATTTGCACAGATTTTAATGGATTTCGATAGATTTCTATATACAAAAACAATCCACCACAATCATGTAGATTTCCCTCGGATTTCAAAATCCATGATCTTTTAAAATCCATCAAAGTCATAATCGGAGATTTAGTGGAATGTGTAAAACTCTTAATTGGGTACACCTCTAATTTTATGGAATCATCCCGAGTCTGAAACATTTAATTCCACCCAACTTGTTCCATTGATTCAATTAGATCAAATTTAATTCCGTTTCAATTTTGCTGAAAAAAAGTTTTGATTTGCGCACGATTAGTAAAACTTCTTGATTGTTGGGAAGATGGACAAAGGACAGAGGCAGAAATAGCTTCTCTTAAGAAGACACTTATTCAAGAAGTTTCTGTTTGGCACAAACTTGATCATCCTAATGTGACTAAGGTAATGGTTTAATTTACTTGCAATAATGTAATAACCAATGATAATATGCATTTACTAATGTTTATTTTCTGATATGGATGTAACTGAAAGTTTTACATTTTCTTTCTCCATACTATTTTTGAGACTATATACTCAAGGACTACTCTTACACGCCATAGCTAGGTTTATAAAGTAGTATATATGATGTTATTACATTAGTTTCTAAAGAAGTTTCTATTTGAGTTGACATGCATTTTATTCAAAACAATAAAACTGTACGTTAAGAAATCATATATATCTATGATAATGGAATCATATAAGAAAAGTGAACTATCTAATTCTTTCTTTAAACAAATCTCAAAGTGAGAGGGGGTAGTATTAACTTAATTATATGAATTGAATATGAACTAAAAGCATTCTCTCATATGATAATTTTGTATTCCTTCTTAATTATTCTTCTTTTGACATGGAACTGTTGCATCCTAATTTGCCAGAAGATACAACATAAAAAGAATTCATGTCTCTATGTGAATTCCTCAAGCTATTGCATCTATTTAACTGCTACCTCCGTCCCGAAAAGATTCAACAAATTGACTTTTCTTGGTCAATGATGACAAATTTAAGCAATGATTTTAGTTTTTATATTTGTTTATAATTTACAAATTTTATACTTTTATGAAAATATTTTCAATAAGGAATGTTTTGATATAATTTTCATATTCTAAATAATTTCGTATTAAAATATATCATTGGTCAGAATTCATTGTCATTGATCAAGAAAAGTCAATTTGGCAAATCTTTTCGGGACGGAGAGAGTATTATCAACCCACAAATTATCTAGATAAGATAATCCTTTCTTTGATCCTATCCTGCTTGAATTGCTCAAATAATTGCCTCCCTAATACCTGTAGCCTTTGTTTGTTCTCGTGATAATAACTGTTGAAGATTCGTCTTTTTCTTTTTAACCTAATTTCATTTTATTTTGAAGCTAATTGGAGCAGATATGGGCTCAAGAAAATACACCATACAGACCAATGTTGGTGAGATTGTGGTGCCACTTAATGTTTGCTCTCTTGTTGTTGAATATCTTCGAGGCGGAACCTTAAAAACATTCCTCTATAAGAACAGGAGAAACAAATTACCTTTTAAAGTTGTAGTTCAGCTGGCGCTGGATCTTGCGAAGGGGTGAAATTTTATTTCCCTTTCTTTTCTTTTTTATTTGTGTTAACATATTTCCTATTCATTAATGATAAATATACAAGTCCATTCTAAAGATTTTGGATCACTCCTTCTATAAGATTGTCCTTTTAGCATGAAATGTAAAATATTATATCGAGTGAGAGTCGCTACTCAAATGGGAAATTAATCACACTAAGTTATTCAAAAAGAGCACACAAATATGAATAATAGTATGCTCCAACGAGTTATCATCTTATGTGGTACGTTAACACATCTAGCACAAACCAAATACAAAAGTACAAACTAGTAAGATATTAGAGTACTGCTATACAAATTGATACTTCAATATGTTTTCATTTCTCAAAGTAATTCACTGTTTAGGTTAAGCTATCTCCATTCCAAAATGATTGTCCATAGAGATGTGAAAACAGAAAACATGCTTCTTGATGGTAAATGTACTGTAAAAGTAGCTGACTTTGGCGTTGCCCGTGTTCAAGCTTTAAATCCTAATGACATGACGGGAGTGACTGGCACTCTTGGGTACATGGCACCTGAGGTATGTATGTATTTATGTATATAGGGTACGGATCAAATAAAAAGGATTTCAACGTGTAAAATACGAAATATTCACTTCTGTTGCGCTACGGTGCACTTTTCGGTTCAGATAGTGAACCTTTTCGAGTTTTCTTATTTAAAAATTCTCACCATGTGTTTTCTACAAACTTGAAAAAATGCACTACCTGAACAGAAGAGTGCACTTAGTGATACAAAAGTAAATATTTCACATTTTACATGTCAAGACCCTATTTTATTTTATCTGTCCCCATTTTTGTGTCAGTGTGTACATATATAGGGGGTAGTTAAAATAAAAAGACACATTCCAATGCAAAATGAGAACGTATGCACTTTTTGCTCAATGCGGTGCACTATATCATGTTTCTGTTGCAATTTTTTGCGGTGGCAAACAACTTTGGTTCATTTGTGAAACTACCACCGTATTTTTATCAAATCTAGTGCATTGTTGTCTTATTTTGAGCAATTAGATTCTAAATTGAATGCACACGATATATGTAGTGTGTCAATTTCATAATAAGCTAACAATGCACTAGATTTGAAATAGTGCATCACATTGAGCAAAAAGTGCAATCGTTCACACTTTGCACGAAAACATCAATTTTTGTTTGAACGTTCCCCTATGTATTGGTTTGTTTGTCTTTAAGATGCATCTATGAATATATTGTGGATGTACTAAATATAAAATTAATAAATTGTGGATAATGAGAATACTTGTATGAACTTTAGGCGAGTCCTTTTTGCTTAGAGATGGTACATGTTGTAGAAGTTGTTATAGTATCCAACAACAAACCAATGGACCAAGAGATTGTAAATCTACTACATTTAATACTAACAAAACCTATGTACAGGCTCATAACACACACACAAAGTTTGGATCAAATGAAAACGTGATCTAAGGAGAGAAATGTGAATGATTCTGGAGCGTTGGATTTGGGTATCGTGCATTATGAGAAAAAGAAATATGCACTATCATAATTTAGAAAATGAGCATTTGAAGTCTACATTATTTTAATCACAAATGTTCACATTCAATATTTGCATTACTTTGACAATAAATATATGTGCACCCCCGTGAACCGTAACATCCAAGAATATCCCAATACTATCCTCACAAACCAACTCAAATCTTTACTATACACTTTGACCTCACTCATGCACGCTCTGAGAAATTTCACACTGGTCACCCATCCTAAGACTACTTTAGTACATGCACGCTTAACTGTGGAGTTCTTAGTGGATGAACTCCTTAAGTGAAGGTGCACCGTGTTAGTATGGGTAGTATTATTAATCCTTTGAAATCTTCTTAGATATTACATATACAATAGATTGACTTTATTTTTGACACAATCCTAAACCCTTCAATTTTTGTTTAAGCGCCTCATGGGAGACCACTTCTAACTTATTATCTTTGTAAAAGTAGGTTCTTAATCGGAAGCCATATGATAGGAAATGTGATGTATATAGCTTTGGAATATGTTTGTGGGAAATATATTGTTGTGAGATGCCATGTCCAGACCTCGACTTATCTGGAATTGAATCGGCTATTGGTCATCAGGTACACCACATGTTAATTCTATAGTCTTCTTCATGACATGTCACGTGCGCACGAATATAAGAGTTTTACGGTTTTACCTAAAATAACACTTGCAAAAACTACATAGATAGAAACAAGACTATGATCATGATTATGATGACTTTTTTTTTAATTTAAAAAAATCATCACAATCACGGTATATTGTAAGCCTATAAGGAAGTATCGCTCGTTCATTTGAAATCTCTATGAATATTCTACCATACTACGTTAAAAAAGCATATTATCGTCAATTGTTTTTACTGATATTTTCTAGTTATTTCATATATTGATATGTGCGTGCGTGTATAAAGTGACTAATTAATTAAGAAAAAAATATTGGAAACATAATTCCATGAAACTTCAAATTTGATGCAACTCATATATGTTCTAAAATGAACACAATATACATAAAATATATTTTAGGCTTAAATATATTTTTAATCCTGCAAATATGACACATTTTATTTTGAATCCATCTAATTTTTTTCCTCATTGTAATATGCTATATTTTCTTTGTAGTCCCTTCTAACGCCGAGACCATCTCCGTTTAGAAAAAAAATGATGTTTGTTGCATAAATCTACAAGAGACCTTTAAATTCAATGTTTTATCACTTTTGGGGGCTCATATTGGAGTTAAAACAATGTAAAACTAACCATTCATGATATCAAAAGAAGAATTAATGACTCTCTAGGAACTAACGTAGCATACTATAGCATGATTAAGAATGAGAGAAAATTTATTACTCAGAGTTGTTTAGGTTATGATTTGTCAGGGACTAAAAAGAAAAGCAGCATAAATTACAGGGACGAATAATGCAACATAAGACAAACAAAAAAACTATATTTCAAAGGACTAAAAGGATATATAAACCCCTTTTATCTATCTATCTATTTGTCTGTCTGTCTATCTATCTATCTATCTATCTATCTGTCTATCTGTCTATCTATCTATCTATCTATCTATCTATCTAAGTGAATGGCTTTTGAGTTTCAAATAATATTACTAAAGTACACCACTATCCCTGATGAGTTTTCATTTGACTATTAAATTAAAGTTATAATTCATTAAATCTATAGCACTAATTATTCGAATATTTTACTAGTTATAAATAAAAATATTCCCGAATAGTCATTGAAATAAAAACTTATTAAAGATCTACAAGTATAATCAGGATGGTCAAAGATACATAGAGGTTGACACCTCTAAATACAAAAGTGGGAGGACCTTTTGATTATCATGAATTTAGAGGGAAGGTGGCTATTAGTGTTGAGTATGATATAAATTATATGGTTATTATGATATCAATATAGGTGATTTTTTGTATAAAAAAGAATTAAATGAAATACATAATCATAGAGACGTCAATATTGCGATTCTTGAGCAGGATCTCTACATCAGTATGAGTTTTGGTGTTGAGGTCCAGACTCAATCGAGACATGATTCAAGAATAATTTCAGTTTGGAATCCGAATGAAGATGAAATTTTTGTTTTCTAATTTGTTTATATACACGCGATCCCATCGAAGGTGTGGGAGCCTTTGCGATACTGGGGTAATGATGATGATGAGTTTGTTTATCTACACCATAGATGTTTTGTTTTTTGTTTTACCCTCCAGTATAGTTGTCATGTTGGATGACACGGATATGGGCGCAGAATGTGAGGCCGGTTATACCACGTTGCTGCCCAAGGTCATTAGCAAATGTAATGAGACGATGTTGGGATGTGAATCCAGAAAATCGTCCAGAGATGGACAAAGTGGTGTCCATGTTGGAAGCAATCGACACATCAAAGGGAGGTGGTATGATTCCTCTTCATCACCCTCAATCTTGTTGCTTCTTTTGGACCTTTCGTGGTCCTTGACATTTAAATGTATGTATGTATACTAAGTACATTATGGTTCAAAACAGATGGTGTTAATTAGTAGTAGAGCGAGCATGCACAATAAGGATGGTCTATCACCCTACCACATATGTACTCATTATATATTGCATTCCATATTCATAAATTCCAATTTTTAGAGGATTTGCAATATTTAAAACACTCAAGGTTCTTTATAATACTAGTGTCGATTCTATTATTATTCTATGTCGATTTTAGGCTTAACTTTGTATTAAAAAAAGGGTTGAAATGGAGTTAGACTTGAATAGTTCCGTGTTATTCTAGAAAGACTAGAATCAAAATAAGGCACATATTTCACCCATTAGCCCTTATTTGTAATTAATCTTCACCCATTTTCATATAATCATGTTGTTAACCCAGCGGCAGACCTAGGGGGCCAGTGTCGGTGCCTTCATCTATGGTGAGTTTAAAGTATATACACGTGTATATTTGTCAGCACTCCAAGAATATATTAAATATACAATGGTTGCAATGAATTGTATTGGCAAATATACATTGTTCTACTTTGTTAACAAAAGCTACGCTCAGTCAACCCACATTTAGATATCAAACGTTAAGTGGAGAGTGCACAAGGAAGCTTTTTTTTATTATGCAGAGGATGGTTAAATGTAGTATTGTCATAATGTCATTGCCATGTGCCATTTGAGTCCTTTGGCGTTCACTATTTTTTTCCCAAACCTATTATAGTATATGTCTTCAACATTGATCACTCTTTTATTGCCTTTTAGATGATTATGGGAGTTTGAAAGGGATATACAGACTACATCCGTGCTTATAAAATGAGAAGCTTTTTTATTATGAAAGGGTAGTCATGGAATTCCTTTGCATTAGGGTAATGATTCAAAATATCATTGCTTGTTTGCTACTAAGGTTTCAGGCCAGGGATCATTGTGTTATTAGGATTTATCCATAATACTATATATTTTTGTGCATACTTAAATGGTTAAATTTTTAAAAATCCAAATGTAAAAACACATTGATCAAAAGAGGCAATATAATACATATGGAGGAAATCATCAGTTAAAGACAAATAGCTCAACTACCAGTGCATAGATTTCATTCCTTCGGATGAGAATAAAGTTAGGTCAGAGAAAATAATGTTTTTTAATAATACAATCCTTTGCACATCAAGTTCATAGAGTTACAAATACGTAAAACATCTTTTCTATCCTAAAAAGGCCAGGCCTTCTTTGACTATATCAAAGTAACAAGAACTAATTCTCTGAAAGCTAGTTTTTGTATATGTGTGCCCCTGTAATCATGCCCTAGATGTACACAAAGAATGTAATGATACACTGGAGGGGTTGAATGAGGAAAGAGTTTGTTACAATCAATTATCATGGGTCTGCATGTCCAGCAACTTCATCATCAGTATCGCTTTGACCACTAAGGTCCTCCTCGCTGATCTCATCATCACTATCTTCTTTCTCAATGCTGATGTTTTCCTTCTTTGCATGTAGCTCACAATACTCTGTCACAAGATTATAGCTACTGAGATATATTCATTAAAACATTATAAGCAAAATACACTATCTATAATTTGATTTAGTTGGAATTTTGTTGAACACATCTTCCCTCGACTTTTGTATTTTTCTTTACCAATCATTCTAATAATTGGGATTAGTAGATATTGCACTAAGTATTAGGTCCTATGGGACGTCCAGGCGCAGTCCAGGCGTCACGCCTGGGGAGATTAAAATCTCAATAAATTCATTTATAGAAGCCTAGTCCAAAATCAGGGCCAAATACAATATACTACCAATGGGGGCACATGCCCCCAATAACCTCCAAAAAATATTGTAAGAATAGATAAACAAAACCAATTGCTCAAGTTGAAAAAAAGGTATGCCCCAACCACTTTAATATATGTTTAATTCTTGTTTATAATATGAACACTTGCAAAATAATTAACACACGGTATCAAATAATCGTAAAATTGAATTTTAGGTTTCATAACTAGCCATTTTATTTATAAATATTCCACACTAATTTATTTTTAAAATTTCTAGGAGTTTAATCCTAAGTCCACTAAACACATAATAACCTATAAGTTCAGAATTTGTAATATAATATGTTCCACTTAGAGATATAGGGAATGGGCGATGAATAATTGATTATTTTTATTACAATTTTAAATTCTAAAGTGGATTTAAAAATACAGTATGCCTAGTTTATTTGTTATAAATTGTCAACGATGAATTTATCATCTTTGTAGAGGTGAATGCTATTGTACCTATAAAAACCAGGATATTGTACCTATTATGCATTTGATTGGTTCAACCCATTATTCTCATTTGTTTATATTTATAATATTTGATTGTAGTATTTCAATTATTCCATGTGCCGTACGTTGAGGGTACTGTATAATTTGTGTTTTGTAAATCTACACTTCGCCATCAATCCATATATAGGATCTTGAATTGAAATGATACTTATTGAAATTTGTTTTAGGCTTCACAGTGAGCTACTGTTATTTAAAAGAAAAACCTTTCTACTTAAATAATTGATATGTATTTTCACCAACAAAACATAACTATGAATGTTATATCATTGTTATACATGATTAAGTTTAAATTTGATTGGGTATTAATTGTGTGTTGAGTTTTAGGCGATGTTTGATAACACTTGTTTTCGTTTTATCAACGAGCTTATTTATTGAACACGTAGCTTATGATTTTGTGCGGTGAATTGTGAAATAATTAAGATAAGTAAGATTGAAAATACTTTTCTGACGGAATCTGTTCTTAACTCAGCAGATTGATTCAATTTCAACCGCATTAATCTAAATTTCACAATTTTTGTGAATTCGGCATATTCTAGTGTTGTCAAAAGGACTCCTAATTTCATCATATTTTTCCCCCAATAGGTTTTTATCTTGAATCCACCGCTATCCAAAATAAGATTTAGCAAGTAGAACCTTCTTAAAGTTTGAAACTCGAAGGACAATCGACTCTCAAACTCGAAGGCCAATCGATGACTCCTAAACACAAAACACCAGTAGTCGCTACTTCTCTATTGCATGCCTATGTTGCAAGGTTGAAGACGACCTGCAGTTGCTGCATGCATGTGTTACAAGATTGAAAACGACCTGCATTTTTCTACAGTTTTTTATTTTTATCGGTTGCGTCTATCATACTTCTTATTCCATTATATTAATATATTTTACATGGAGTTAGGCACTAAGCAGTGAGCAGTATACCCACTACAATTTTACATGGTTTAATTTCAATACTTGGTATTATACATTTATAATTCATACACTATACAGTATGTATAGATACACACTATAATATATACTAGTATGCATATAACTTGTACACAATTTAATTAATAATATATCATATGCAATACTTCCTCCTTTCTTAAATAATTGCAACACTTTCCTTTTTTGCAGTTTCAAAATAATTGCAACATATCCTTTTTAAGTTATAAAAATAGTCACTAAGACTAGAATACCCTTACACCTATCTGACATGCTTTTACTTAACCGAACCCACTACTTTACCCCAATTGAAGTATCTTCACCCATTTTGTATCCTCCTCTCTCACCTTCTCTTTCACTTCCATGACAATTCATTCTTCTTCATTCATTTTTTTCTCCCTACCTTTTCTATTTCGTTCCCACTAATTTTAATTTGTTTTGAACTTATGTATGATTTCACCCAAATATCTTCTTTCATTTATTTCTTTCAACTATTTTTCTTTCCACCTCATTATTGCTTTGTTCTTAGCATTGTAGAAAAACTAAACACTTGAGATTGCAGACATAAATTGATGAAATAGCAAATCACTCATAAGAGAAGCAATAGGGTAGCTCTTGGGAGAGTCCAAAATCGAAATGTAGTAGAGAAATTAATGAGAGAATTAAAAATCAATATATATATATATATATATATATATATATATATATATATATATATATATATATATATATATATATAGAATTAGGTTCATGTGAGAAATTGATCTTAGGAGAGAAATGAGAATGAATCTGGACCGTTAGATTGTATTATGTGAAATTGAATGTGCATTAAGTGAAACTGAAATGTGAATTAGGTGAAATCGAAATGTGCAGCACAAAATGTAAGGCATAGTGGTATTATGTAAAGCTGAATTGTGCATTATGAAAAACTAAGATGTGCACTACGTGAAATTGAAACGTGCAGAATAAAAACTAAGATGCGGTGACATTTTTGTGCCTTTTATTCTGCACATTTCAATTTCATGTAATGCAAATTTGAGTTTTATTTTTCATTCTGCACATTTCAATTTCATGTAATGCACATTTCAGTTTTGTCTAATGCACAATTCAATTTCACATAATACAATCCAACGGTCCAGATTCATTCTCATTTCTCTCTTGGTAGTCCTTTCTCACTCGAACCACTCCCAATATATATATATATATATATATATATATATATATATATATATATATATATATAAGAGGAACTTTTTAAGAGCATACAAAGCGACACATAATCTTGCCATGTCATTATATATAACAATTATTTACTTATTTTTATACCTTTTGTTTTTATTACATTCTATTTTTGATTGCATATTGATATGGAAACAAAAATCCTTATAAATCCACCTTAATTAATTTGGTAAGCTTCAAATAAGTAAAATAATTTTTGGTTATCAAAGTGAAATTCTAATAACGTTTATTGATATGGAAACTAATTTATAGAAACAAATATGCAAATTAGTTTACTTATTAATTTGACACCTATTAATAAATTAGTAAGCTTCAAATCAGTAAATAATTAAAAATGAAATTAAAAATTATAACCAACATAAAGTATATATATTTTCACAAGTAAATATGTTTAGCTTAGCCAAATAAGTAATTTTTTTTTGTTGTTTCTTTATTTTATATCTAAAATTCAAATATGCCTTCACTTTTGAAATAGATTCCTAATCCAAATTAGAAAATCTTTATAGGTTTACGAATTCCTACTTTTATTTTAATAGAATGTTTTTAATTGGATTGATTTCAGTTCCAGATTAAATCAGACCAGATCAAACTTTAATAATTACTCCCTCCATTTCTGAAACAAGTTCCACATTTGACTTCACACATATTAAGAAAATAAATTTGACTTTACTGTGCAGTGTACTGTTTGGCACTGTTTGAACACTGTTTGGCACTGTTTGAACATTGTTTGACACTGTTTGACATTGTTTTGATGTAGATAATTTGCCAAATAAGGAAATGTTTGAAAGTGGAACTTAATTTTGAATCTGCCCGAAAAGGAAAGGTGGAACTTGTTTCAGAAACGGAGAGAGTATAACAATAAGTCACATAAAAAACAGACATCTAATAGACCATATTAATTCATACCAAATCAAACCCGAAATTTTAATTCAATTGAAAACGTTCTTATTAATGGGTAAACTCTAAGATCTAACAATTAAGAAATATAGATTTTTTATTATTATTAGGTTCATAACAATTATGTTTACTTAAGATGCTTATGTAGAAGACCAATTTAACTTTTTTTTCATATATTTTTTTCTTTGTTTCACAAATGGAATATATTTCACATATATTTTTCATGATTCAGAAGATTCCACCTATTTAACCAGAATTCAATCAATTTGAGAAAAATAAGTTAATTCTATTTACTTTAGTATTATCAAACAGACTCTATATTAGACTAAGTTTATTTTTCTTTTAAATCACATTAATTATATGTGATCCGATAGAAATTAAATTTCCAATTAACTAAATTACATACTGCCCGTGCATCGCACGAGCTTGAAAGCTAGTAGAATCATAAAAATGAAATCACAGTAATATTTGGTCTAAAGATTAATATGCGTTATTGATAAGGTTTGAATAATAGAGAAGACAATTGAAGCCAATAATGACTAAAAGAAAACGAAACTGCTGTCAGAAGTTTGTCAGATTGAAGGGTAGAATTGAAAAGAAATGCTTTACAAGCATTCCTTAATCATTGTGCCCAGCAAGATGTTGCAATTAATTCCGAACATAGGAAGTATATAATAAATTCTAAATTAAATATAGTTAAATAGCATGTATATATAATAATGTATGTAGTATATAATTATATATTATATATATATAATATATTACACAATGTGCAACTAGTATCCTAATTGTCGCCTAGGCAGGCGCATTGTCGCCTAGGCGATAAGTCGGTCGACTGGCACCGTGACTCGCCTTACCGGCATGACGAGTATGGTTGGAAATAATGTGATTACAATATAATGATATAGAAGACAGAAGTCACAAAACTAAATTTGAACATTTAAGAAACACCACTAACCTTTCACTTTTTGGTCGTATTGCTTCTTGTCCTTCATCAGAAGTGATGCTGCATCACCATTTAAGGGATCTGATGGATTTGGGTAAAGCAAAAGTTGTGGCAGGAAAACCTCGAAGACATTTAAAAGATCTGGACCAGTATAAATATAACTCAAAAGCTCACAAATAATCAATGTTTTAGCATTGTCCTCCTATAAACACATTTAGCTCTACCAAACAGCACCGTATAGAGGCATTCATATAAACTTCTTTACATGTGTCATGAAAGCCTCTAAATATTAAATACTTTTTCTTGTAAACACTTACCAAACATTGGGCTCCATGACTGGTTGATGACATCCAAGCAGACAGAACCAGACCTTTAGTGAATAGACAAAATTTGATTACCATTTAATCATCTTTCACATAAGCAAATTTAATGAGATTGATAACAAAGGACATATCAAAGCACCTTGATGATTACCATGAGAAGCTACAAGCAACAATGTTCTAAAATCTTTACAGTACGTAAACTCACAATTCATCAACATTTGGGTGGAATATTTTGTTTACAAATCCAATGGAAGGAGACTTGTAAGGATAAGCATCTGGAAGCTCCACACGGACTTTCCAGACTCCACCTTCATAAAGGCCTACAGAAAGGAAAAGAAGAGTAAAAAGATCAGGGGCGGAGCCAGGGCACTGAGCCTAGTTGGCCCTCCTAGATCCACCAATGAAAAAGATAATCATATAAATCTCATGATATCATTACAAAAATTGACATAATGATTATATTAATGAATCATTATAAAAACTCAAACAAATAAAGAAGTACAAATGGTGAACAAATAAGAGAGTCAAATTTACTACATTAAATATATGATCGCCAGCATCTTAGTCCCAAGAACATTGGGGTAAGTGGAAATTTGCCATAACATTTAGTGTCAAATGTTTGTTACCAGTGACCAATGTAAGTTAATGCAAAAAGCATAGTAACAATGTTTAACATGGGATGCCCTTCCGATCACAACCTTATAACGAGAGAATATATAAACACATGATATATTAACACACTTTTGAAAAGCTAATCGCATAGATAGCAAATATGTTAAGACGGCATTTTTGCATAGCAGAGGACATGAGGACCATTACTTTCTTTTGGACCATGGAATTCAACAAAGAACTTGTTGATTTCATCATTTATTGGCTCCACAGTGTAATCGCTCATCATCCTATCACACATGCACAAAAACACAATATTTCATAAGAAAAATAAGTCAAAAAAATATAATCATACGAGCATTAAATGAGTGTTAGACACTTACAATTTCATAACATCCATATCCCTTCTCTTACTTGGTGATGACATTTTTGAAAATATCGTATTCTGCGGAGCTGCAAAAGAAATCAAAAGATCAGACGTTTTCAAAGTGAGTAATATATTGATATAAAGATGTGAGTATGGTAGTACGAGGCTTGATTGTTCATAATTCCAAATAGGAATAAGGGGCAACCTATTAGACGTAAGCGGAAGACAAAGTAGGATAAGGATGTCAAACCTGCACCACATTAACCAACAACCATGTCAAAAGAACACAAAAGGTACTTTGTTTCTTTCATCCTAGTTCCTAGCTTGAGTTTGTGTTTGTGGAGGTGGAGGGAAGATGGCATACATTGATACACAAATGTCACCTTTTATCTGAAGCGTCTACATGGCATTGGATTACAAATATAATTCTGTTTTTATGAAACAATTGAATGTCTTGGATTCCTTGTAGTCATTGATTCATTGCACAAGAGAAAGTAGAAAAACTAACTTAACTACCAATACAATTTTTATTAATACTTCACTAAATAGGGGCAATTATGGAAAAACAAATTACATTTGCACTAATATTCTAAAATGAGTTATGTTTAGGACTGTTATACTATGCCCTAAATTAGGACTGGAGAAATAATACAGGTGCAATGATGCATAACCACTAAATGATTATTATTAGTGATGGACAATGTAATTAAAAATGGCGTGTGCGCATATGTATGTCATGTTTAGGCCACATGCTACCCAGTTCAATATCATTGATTGTAGAGATACAATGACACCGTTGCTCGTATAATATCATAGATGTCATGATCTCGCATTCAGAGCTTCATTTTCTTTTCTCATGTCACTCAAGGACCTCAAGATACCATTTAATTATCTAAAACACTTTTTCTTCTGTCATTATTATTCTTGTTGTTCTTTTGCAACAATAGTCGATCGAGCTCTTAAGATTAAATTTCGATAGATGTTTCAAACTATTAAAATGGAGGAAGCTAGTCAAAATGATACGAAAATTATTGTGATATTTGGTACTATATGTTATTCCATAACTCATATAATCTGGAACACAATTCACTGAAATGCCAAAATTGATTGAACTGGATAGTCTAAATGATCTCAAACAGGCAGATTGACTAAACACAAACTCAGGATGAGGCCCAAAAAAGGTGTATGTGTGTGTATTAAGTAAAAGATATGAAGTATGCTGAAATACAAAGGCTTGGTCCCGTAGTATTAATTTTATGAACTTCGTCCACTCCACCCCCGAAATAGATGATCTGCTCTAGGATGCCGTAGGTCACATTTGGGATTACTTTCACGGTGGGAAAAACTCATTTAGCCCTATCACAATATAAAACAAACTACAGTTTTTGGACAAAGTTAATTTGAAATGCGGAAAACAGTAGAACAATAGTCAGCCAGCCAATATAACTTTTATATAACATATCTCGACCTCCAAAGACATATAGCTATACTTTTTTTCATAGAGACTTACAATGCTACTTCTAAAATTGCTTTTCCAACAAGGAAAACAAGAGGTCATTTTCAATGGAAACGTCAATTCAAAAGTAGGCGGTAATCTCACAATGAGGCCCGTGCACAACAATATATTACATTCCCAAGGAAAACAAAAACCCAACCACAAAGATGTTTCCTTTTTAGGTAGAATTTTAGTTTCTAGAGTAGAAATTGAGAAATATAAACGCACAATAAAAGCGCAAGAGAAGGATAAAAACACGCTGAGAGCGTCTGAACATGACGATATGATCTCAGCGTCCTGGTCGAGAGCCACACTATTTAAAGGAGAAGAAGGATAGAGGAACGAACCTCGAACACGAACTGTATGAGGGGATCGATGAGAATTGAGAGTTTATGCTTGAAGGTATATTGAAAAATAAGAGAAAGAAAGGATAATAGCGGAATGGAAAAAAGAGAGGTTTGGAGAGATGATGGGGATGAGTTGAGTGACGACATTGATTGTGTGGTGTGAGGGGTGGAAAGTTTTGAGCCAATGATTGGTTTTATAATCTCCTACAGTCTCTCCCCTCTTGATTTGTTTAGGACCAAAATCTCAGAAAAATTGATTGATTCTCTGGCATGTAAGATTTGAACTTTGTGCACATCATTTCAGTATCCTCAAATACTCAATAGGCTCAACTTATTACCACTCGATCGTAGTTATCATTTGGAGTGCAGAAAAATATCGATAATTCAATATACTTCATTTACCATATTGAAAAATATCGAATTTATAAAAATATTTGGTATACCGACACTTTCAGTACATTATGGTACCATACCGAATAACTCCGTCATGCCGAAAATTCAAGTCAAAATTTTGTTTAAAATTATAAATATGACTAAAACCACAACATTAATTCATGGATAAATGACTTTATATCCTTATTTCTGGAATTATTTATACTTCTTTTTGGATATTGGTGTCATTGTATATATACCTATGTAGCTTAAATTATTTTAGGAAAATGTGTTATTATCTTAAATATCTAAACATATTTATAATAATTTTTGTTCAAAATTAAATAGGTTATCATTAGTATTTTATAATTAAGTTCATTAATGATTTTAGTATATCACTACTAACATTGATTTTCTATGTTTCATTTGGCATACAATAATTTGTATATATTACAAATTATCGTGATAATTTACCGATATCGTACTTTTAGCGTACCGAAACTTCGGCATACCGCAACTAGCTATACTGAAATTTCAGAAAAGGTAACATTATGTAGTTTTGCATACCGAAAATTGACGGTACAGTAAAGGTATGAGATAAAATATGTGATATATTGTACTGAATTACCCCTAGCTAGTTATCATTAAAACATGGAAACTAACATTTGTACACAAGTTGTGCACCATTTGTATACACTATATAAGCTTAAGTATATATCATTCTTAATTATTCTCCCATTTTTTAGTGCACACTAAAAAGAATGAGAGCAGGGCAGAACTGCTGAAACCGCATCTTCGTGGCACAACAACATTGTAATCATATTCACCTCACTGCACAATCTTCTCACAAATCTCTACCCTGGCTAATTTTTCCCTTTGCCCATAAGTTTTTTTACTTTAATCTACTTGTTTTATCCATGAAACCTTAAATTCGAACCTAATATTCCTTCTTCAAGATGACTCATTGTACTTCTAATGAAGCACACTCAATAGATAATGCATCTAAAAAATCATGGCGTGATTTAACCTTTGAAGACACTGACATTTGGGCAAACAAGAGAGAAATTCTATGGTGGTCCTTTATGGAAGGTATAATTCATTCAAAAGTATGAATAATTGCTTTTTGTATAAGAGTTTGACATTGGTGTTATGTTTTTGTATTTTGAAGAGTGACAATTGCAACTTCTTTTTGTGGGAGCACGATCTAAAGAAGATGGAGACTAGGGTGTAGATGCATGTAAAAAAGTAGTCACTTTTGGATGAGAATGAAAATCTAAGCAAAGAGATAGAACAAATGAAACTTCAGAACAATATGTAAGCTCAGAATGAAAATGAAATTGTCAAAAGTTGATATTAGAAGGGCGGAAAAGAATGGCAAAAAGGCTATGTGTGGTGTTGTTTTATCTTGGATTGTTATTGCTGTTGTGTTATCCGTTTTAGTTGGTGTAATGTAAGAACTCCATTTTAATTACTATGATGTAAGAATGATAGCAATATTGTAAGCATTTTCACCCCACAACAAGCAGAATTCCTCCCAAAAAAAGTCTTAAGAAAGCAGTCATCTAAACAAACTACCCTTCTAGAGCTACTTAAAAGACCACATTTCAACCCATCAAAACGTACAAACAACCTCTGAAAAATCAACGGATTTCTAGTGACCTTAGGATATGTGAATAAGTCAAAGAAAGAAATAGGATTTGCCTTCCTCAAAACAATTAAATAGCTACCAATCTTAGCATAATGATCCTTCAATTCATCGAATCATGTAACATTTTGTTAGTCTCATACTTTATTTTGTAAGCAAGCTAACTGTTGATCTTATGAGAGATCAACGCCACCCTTTGATTCAGGGTCTAACCCTTTGATTAAGCTCAACCTGATGGTACACAAGTTAGCAAGCCACCCATGCATATTTCAAAACTTGTGCGATTTTTTGGAAGTGTTCGCCTCCCTTAACTTCTAATTTTCAAAATTAATATACAGTCTTACATAATGTGGTACTTGATAGGAGATTTAAAAGAATAAACATCTAAAATAATTTTTCATTACTTAAACAAATAAGGAGTAAACAATACAACAACTCATTATTTAAGACTTAGGATACTTATTACTACGGAGTATATAAAAATTCCTAGTCTTGTAATGTTTAATTATCTTTATTAGATAATTGGTACTCAATTTTGTAAAATATCAAACGATATTAAAAATCACACACTAGTTAAACAATTTTTAGATCATGTGAAGTGAATTTAAAATATAAATGTTTGTTCACATTAAATTGCACAATTCATCTACTTCTTACTTTCTAAAAAATAATTTATTGCAGAGATAATAAATGTTAGCTTATTTTAACATTAATACAAATATAATATGCACCATCTATATGAATTAGCAATATAATATTCTTGTATGAATAATAATCTCATACATAGTATTGTAATATTAAGAAAACTCCTCATAACTCACTGATGGAGTATATGGCCCGGGAACCCCCGGCCCACAGACTCCTACTACTCCACCAAAGGCCCAACAGGCGAAAGTCACAGCGCCCAGAGTACCAAGCAGTCCGCACAACGCACAGGGGTGCCTTCGGCCCCCTGGCCGAAGGCTCCAAATTATCACAGAGCGGGTTTCTCAAGCAAACTAAGAAACTGGGAGAAAACGGCGAAAACAGTAGCCCTCGGCACTGCGAGCCCTCGGCACCAGGGGTGCCATCGGGAAGGAAGAGCCCTCGGCTACTGCTCTATGGCCGAAGGCACCTTACTCGACAAGATATCTGCCTCACATGCGTACAGATCACCGTACCCCGTACAGACATCCCATCCAACAGCCGCATTAAATGCGGCCACATGCGGCTGCCAGCACCAACCAGTTGAGGTGACCCCTCGGCCAATGAGCGATTGACACGTGTCCCTGCCCGGCATTTATTGCTACTATAAATAGCACCCCATTTCCCCATTTGTAACCACGCTGAAAAGTGATAACACGCTTAATACATATCGAATATACACTCTCTCTCTTACTTGTTCGCTCTGACTTCTCTCTAAGTTATTCCCCGTAATAACCCTTCGGATATATACCCCCGGGTAGACTATCCATCATTTGGTGCTCTCGTTGAGAGGTTGAACAATCGAGTAAGAAACCCTCCCCCTCGACCAAACACAAACACTAGCCCTCTATCAAAATGGTGAGGACAACACGTGCCAACTCAAAGAACGTAGAAGACAAGAACCTGCCCCTCGGCGACGTCAACGCTCCCGAAGCCTCTCACAGGGCTCCCGAGGGCGGTGTCCTCGCTGGGCTGGAACAGGCGGCTGTCGACCTACGCCTTCAGATCCAACAAAACGCCCCCGATGCCCGCCTCGGCATCGAGGCCAAGAAGAAAAACCGGAGCGATGACCAAGTCAGCCCTCCGGTTCTCACCATCGACGTACAATCGGCGCTCTCCGCCTTCATCCAAACGCTCACCCAGAACCCGGGTGCCTTCGGCACCCTGGCTCCAGCTCACCCTCAGATTGGGGAAAATATCATACTTCCCCCTCTGCCACACCCCTTCGGAAATCCCACCCCTCGGGTGAGAAACGACGAAGCGGTGGTGGCCCAAGATACATCCTCCCAGGAAGTTCAGTCCCGGGACCGCCATAATGACAACAGGGAGAGGCCCCGTACTTCCGCCCTCAACCGGCTCGGAGGAGGGCCAGACCGCCGAGGGGTCCAAGACCGCCTCGGGGGGAAAGCACTCCAAAGGCCCCAGGAAAGCGGGGGATCTGTTTCGAGGGCAGACGAGGAGCGTCCCCCTCGAGACAAAGGCAAGGCACCCCTTCATGCCGATGATGCCCGGCACCAAATCAACCAGGCCCACTCGGCCCGGGTTCGTTCGCAGGGGGCGGAGACCCTCCCGAGGGATCCCCGGGACGAGATTATTGCGGCCCTCCAACGCCGGCTCGACGAGATGGAGTCCAACAAAGCTCACGCCACCACCTCCACCCCTCACTCAGACCTCAAATACGAGGCCATGATGGCCAAAATGGAGGAATTACAGAAGAAGGTGGCCGAGGGCTCCGGGGAACCCGTCATTCAGCTCCGGACTCGGACGCCATTTACCCCAAGGGTATTGGCGGCCCGGATCCCGGAAAAATACCGAGAGCAACACATACAGCCCTACAGCGGGAAAATGGACCCCCAGGAACATTACAGCAAATACCAAAACAGCATGATGATGGTGGGGGCGTCAGACGAGTATTTGTGTCGTTGGTTCCTCTCCACCTTAGAGAGCCCGACGTACGAATGGTTCAACGGGCTGCCCGAGGGCTGCATTGATTCGTGGCAAGAACTCGCCCAGCGATTCTTGACACAATTTGCCGGGAGACGTCGCACAAGGAAGCACTTCTCCCACCTCCTAAGAATACGTCAAAAGAAGGATGAGACCCTTCGGGATTTCCTAGAGCGCTGGAGGACGGAGGCCGACAAGGTCGACGGTGCTGATGACGGGACCCTCCTGGCCCTCCTACAAACCGTCCTTCGCACCGGCAACTTTTCCAGGAGCCTCATTATTGAACCTCCCCGCGACTACATAAAGGCCTTGCAGCGGGGGGACCGGTATGCTGAGGCCGAGGAGGTGGAGAAATATCACCAACATTCGGACCAGCAGCCCCCGAGGGCTGACAACAAGCATAACCGAGGGCCGGGGGCTCCTCCAAATCGCCCCAAGACTTCGGGACCCTCTGATGACCGCCCTCGGCAAGGCCAAGCCAAGCCTGGGGGAGGTTATAAGAGCAACCCTAAGACTTGGGCCCAGCCCATCCTCCTGGACCGCCCTTGGACACCATTGACGCACCCCGTCAGCATCATCCTCGATTTTGCCGAGGAGAGGGGCCTCGTTGAGCGCGACTCTCGCGCACCCCCGGAGGTACACGCTATCAACCCTCAGTTCCCCTACTGTCGCTTCCATCGGCACCAGGGGCACAGGACCGATGACTGCCATCAGCTGAAGACGGCCATCGAGAGATTAATACAGGCGGGGCACCTGTCCCAATTTGTCCAGAGCCCTCGGCAGGAGGGACCTTCTCATCAGGGGCCTCCCCGAGGGCATCACTCGAAGGTAAACGCTTGGGTAAACCCGAATACCATCCCCCTCGGCAAGAAGAGGGAGATCGGAAACTTGGAAGAAGAGGAGGAGGAATACCCCCACTACCAGGAGAAGAAACGCCACATCCTCATGA